TAAAGCCATTATCTTGAAGCTGGCAGGCTGCCCGGAGCAGTAGCACATACCTCATCAATCACTTCTACGCGCAGAGCAGATTCCGTTCCGATCTGTCCCTCTGCATTCCGATCCTTTGCCGGCACTCCGATTCGACCTCTGGAGTCCATAACCACGTGTTGATTTAAAGCAGAGTCTGTCGTGCCCAGCGGAAGGATGAGCAATACGTGCTACATACTCTATATTGCTTTATTTACAGTTCAAAGCTGGTATATTACAGAAAGACATCTTGCCTCTGCAGGAGCAGAAAATGCATCCTCTCTCCTCAACAGCTCGGAGAGAATCACCCAGTGAAAAACAGGAAACCAGTGTACGTCACATCCAGTCTCCCTTTCCCGTGAGAAACTCCAACAGTACAGACTGTGGAATGTAAACACCTGTCTCGTGACTGCAGTTGCTGCACAGTGAAGGAAAGCAGAAACCAACAGTGTGCAGGGGCTGGCTCTCAGCCTCCGTGCGGGGATCCCCGGCTGCGTCATCCCCTGGCCAGCCGATGGCTGGCCTAGGGGAGGCGTGGCTTGCGCTATTTAACATTGGCTCAGCCAGGGATCTCCCTCTTTGCCGCCGCAGCTCATCTGGTTCCCCACCCTCCTGCCCTTTAGGCTTCCTTTGACCTTGCTATGGACCTTGGTTGGTCCATAGGGGGCCTGGTAGGAATTTTTTCCACTTGGCAAATTGGCACCAGCCACTTGGTTTTTCGCCTACCTCGTAGCAAATCATCACAACTTCCTTGGCATTGGCGGTTAGGCATTGGTATGGGTATTGTTATGTAGATGAAGGTGGGGAGGAAGCGCCATCACCTCCCCCACATTTCGAAGGGTATTCCGGGGGGCGTGGCCCTGTCTGAAACCTATGGAGGTGAGGGCCTAAGGCACGCCCCTGAGCAGTAATCCCGGGGGAGTTCCTAGTTGACGTGCATCAGCAGGACTCCCCCTACTGGTGGTTAACCCTTCCCGGTCTTCAAGCAAACAGGCTGAAGCCGGATAGTTGCTTAGGACCAATGCCTAAGTCAATACCACTCATCACCTGTGACCAATAAAGTTGTGGCCAATTTTTGGCCCATTAACCTGAATGATTGTGTCATGTGTCGTTATTTCCACCGGGGGGGAGGCGGGAACTCGCCACGCAAAGGGACATCCCATTTTGTCACCAAGATCTCACCCAGAAAAAGAACTTTTGGGGGGCCACAATCTTATGCGGCACCCAAAAAAGACCATCTTAGAGCACAGCCCCAGACAAAAAATGCATCACTGGGGCTTCTTGATCTCGCACAAGTCACGTGACCCACATGGGAGCACAAGCAGGAAGACGCACGTCCCGGTTTTGAGACTCAAGATGTTGGAGGTATGGGGTAGGATTATAAAGCCTGCCCTGCCTTTTTAATGAAACGCCCATGCTAGTGTCGCAAAACTTCCTATCCCCACTGCAGAGAAATGGAAAGAGCACATATACTCTATCTTGCCTGAAAATCTGCAGAAAGAGTGTTTCCCATGTCAGCTTGGTCTAGCAACAGCGGGGGGGGAGGCTGCTCCGCTTCCCAGGGGGGCGGGGTTGCAGGCAGGCCACATGTACTCCCCGTGTACAGTGGGGGGGCATGGTGAAGCCTCCCGTGTCACTGGGAGTCCCAGCCATGTCACGCCCCTTGGCTGACCACTCCGGTCGACCGGGGGCATGGCTTGCCCTATTTAAACTGCTGTGTGGCCAAGGGCTCCTTCTCCTTACTTCCACCTTCCAGCCATGTGGTTTTCGCCTGCCTCGTAGCAATCGTCACAACTTTGTGCGGTTTAGCAGTTAGGCATTGGTAAAACCTGATTTATCGAGGGGCGGTTGTGGCCTTCACCTGCTCCTCCTCATTAAGGGTATTCCATTAAAGGGATCCGGGGGTGTGGATCCTGCCCAAAGCCCGGGTAAGGGCTAGGCCATGCCATAACCCCATCAAGGACCCTGGGGGAGCTTGCAGTAGATGTACATCAACAGGGCTCCCCCTACTGGTGGTTGACCCTTGTGAGACTACCTGCATGTCAGGCAGGAGTCAGATATAGTTGGTTCAGTTCCAATGCCTAAGCCAATACCACTCGCATCTGTAACCAATAAAGTTGTGGCCTTAATTATCCCATTAACTCAAAATATTGGTGTCCGTGTGTGTAGTGGTTAAGAGCGGTGGACTCATAATCTGGTGAACCGTGTTTGTTTCCTGCTCCTCCACATGCAGCGGCTGGGTGACCTTGGGCTAGTCACACTTCTCTGAAGTCTCTCAGCCCCACTCACCTCACAGAGTGTTTGTTGTGGGGGAGGAAGGGAAAGGAGAATGTTAGCCGCTTTGAGACTCCTTAGGGGAGTGATAAAGCAGGATATCAAATCCAAACTCCTCCTCCTCTTCCTCCTCCTCTTCTTCTTCTAGAAATGGGTGAGGTCTCAGGGCCTTGCCATGCAACAAGTATCTCCAAATTCAAACTCTCTATTTCCCAGTTTCATGCTACATACCACACAACCACTATGCCCAACCTCTACCTAAACAGCACACACGCAGTTGTAACTGCAACTCGTCATACTTTATGGAAGCTGAAAACTTTGAGTCATCTCGTCCAATTCGCATCTGCCTTTGGAAGTGGTGTGTAACAATACAGAAAATGTATAAATCAGCAGTTGCTGGCTGTACATTGATCAAGGACCAGCAAAGCCTGCTGAGAGAGAAACTGAAGAATTGCAAACTAGATCAGCACGGTGTCTATATATAATCAAATATTGATCGCAAAGCTAGATATGGAAAAGTGGTGTTTACTGAGCATATGACCCTTTACCAGCTTTGTCAGAATCATAGAGGTTTAGACATAGGTTCCAGAACATTCTAGAAACCGCTTAGGGTATATTTGAAGGGGATGTTGCTGTCAGGAATAGAAATGCCTTATTTGTGTACCTGAAAATGAAATTATGAAGGAAAGTTGTAAATTATGGAGATAAAGTTACGAAGGGGAAACACCTCACTAAAAGATATTTACACCACTTTCTTCAATTGATGGAAATGTTACCAGGATACACCTTTAGGGCAGATCCACACATGGCTTCCCACAAAGAATTCTGGGAGCTGTACTTATCACTCACAGAGTTACAATTCGCAGCACCCTTGACAAACTATAGTTCCTTGGGATCTTTGGAGGAAGCCAATGTACATTGAACCTGTTTTGAATGCATGGTGTGGATCTGCCCTTAAATTAACATGCCCTGTATGGAACCCCCGCTTTGAGTTTTCAGCTGTTAAGTACTGCATTACACAGAAAGTTGGTGTGTTTTGTTTAGTCTTTGAATCTTTGGCCAAGTAAATCAAGAATGTATCTGAATTTTCTAAAAGCTGACACAGTGTTATTTTAAAACACTGTTTCGATAAGCTTCAAAAAGTTGATGTATCATAGAGACTTGAAAATATATGATCTCATTAAAAAAAAAACCGCTGGCACTTGGAAAGATCTCCAGTCGCCAATCACAACTTCTGGGTGGCTGTAATTTATAACTTTTGTCCCCAGAGCTAAGCCATTTAATCTGATAATCAGCATCAATCAAGGAATTTTATCGCCGTGTTTTGCAGTCTGAGCAGAAAACCTCTCTCTTGGGGACAAATTAGGCACCCCAGTGTGACACTTGCAAATAAATATTGTTCGCCATAACATTCGGTGCTATGATTCAGTTGGATCGATTCACTATAGAAATGCTTTTGAAGCAAGAAAAAGTGTGTAACTACATGGGGGTGAAAGACACAAAAAAGACACATGGCGCAGTGGCATTTTGGTAGAATAGCAGGCCAGCTTTCTCAGCAGCTTAGCAGCAACACACACTTTTGTTTATGCTTCTTCACTTGCCAGTTGAAAGTTATTGTGCCCAAATATGCTTCATGATTGTCCGTAACTCGCCACTGATGCACGATCCTTATTATGTTGGCATGCAGACCCTTTCATTGGCTCAAAGGACTACAGCTTATTTGAGGTGGGGAGAGCCTCATTATGTGTCATAACACATTGTGACAAGCTACTTATTGCCGAAAACAAAACCAATACATCAGGCATACTAAGGTAATATGCAATGATGTCCAATTTTCTGTTAATTTAGAAGCTCTTTCTAAACCCAGGCAACTACTGGAAAGTAACTAAAGTAATCGTTTTCCCATTCACAAGTCAAGGATCCTGTTAAGCCTTAAAAAGGTCTCTCTACAGGGCACAAAAAAGCAACATTGTAGAACTGCTGAAACACAGTTTTTCCTTTCCTTTATTCAAGAAATTACTTGTGCCTTCATGGACTGAAAAATTAGCTAACTAATCCAATCTTGTATGCAGAATTAATGTGTGTGAGCCTGTATTCTTAATCCTCCCCACTATGGTGAGGTATATCATATTTTTTATTTAAATTACAGGAATTGTTTCTAAATTTGCACCTATACACGTCAATTAGCATATGCAATTTTTATGCAAATCTGTGCCCTCTTTTTTGGTGAGGGGTAAGTAAAGGAGCCACCCTAACTGCAAATTTTCCTTCCTTCCTTTCTTGTGTCAGGATAGCATCCTCCATTGCACCTGAGGGCAGCAGGCTAGTTTAGGGCTTGTAAGACATTTGACTGCCACAGCCTGCCTACCCAGCATCGGTCACCTGAAGTAGCCACCTCACCCTGCCTAATGTTAGGGCCGCCCCTGCAGTTAGTATCTCTGGTAGTAGGAGAATGGGAAAACTTCTATGTGACCTTGGAGAGAGGTTATCAGTTGGCATTTGGAGGGCTGGACCAGGTGTGGGTAATATTTGGCCCTCCAGATGTTCCTAGCTAGCTAGGCCTGATTGGATTTGAAGTTCTACAACATCTGGAGGGGCAGAGTTTCCCCACTCCTAGGCTAGATGCAATATAAGTAGTAAACAAACCAACCCCTGTGTTGCAAAATATGAGTCAGCAATATCAAAAGCAACACAATGGCCAGAAACAATAACAATGTGATCAACTTTATGGAATAATTCAAAACATCAGAACTAACAAACTGAAGTCTCTGAAAGTCATTAAATGAATCACGGTGCCAGACTTTACCCGGCAGAGAGCAAGCTGTGAAGCTTTGTATAATCAGCAAATGTCCAATTTTGATGTCCAACTCTGAACTCTGCTGAACAGTGTTTCTGGATAACAACTACTGTTTCATTGAATTCTTCATCAGCCAATTAGTTCAACACTTGTAAGTAGAAAGATATGTAATTTCTTCATTAACTGAAAATAAAATATTCAAACAATGACCTGCACATTCATAACAACAACTTCAAATAGCGTAGAAATTATAAACTGTAACATAAAAAAGTTACATACCCAATCTTTTTTCGAACAGATATAATGAAAAATACTCTGAAACAGTGCTCATGCTATCATGTAGTCACTGTTACTAACATCATTTTTTGAAAAATATATATAGCCAACCCCAGGCGATACTAATAACAAGTAGACTGAGTTTAAAGACACAGTACAAAGTAACAGCAAAGATACAGATAATCAAATAAGACAATTGAGGTCTAATTCAGAGTTAAGTCCCCTTGGCTGAATAGTTTTAAACATAAAAATAAAATGGGTTTCTAGATGCAATATAAGGCAACTGCTTATGTTTAGCAACCAGTGCTCAAAGTGGGTTGGGAGAGCCTAACCATCCCACTTCTTTTCAATGGGCAAAATGGAGCCTGGCCTAATTTGAAATGAAACCATCCGACTTCTTTTTCCTCTCCCAAATAAAATAATTCTACTTCCCCTTCCTGCCCGCCCTGCCCTCCATCTAACACTTTAGGAATCTTCATTTCTAGTTCACACCAGTGCCTCTGGTATAAGTGCTCTACATATATTCAAAAGCACAATTCAATTATAGACAATGCTTTTTCGTTCCTTCTCTTCCTTTCGCTGAAATTGCATGTCCTGCAGAAATATCTGAGATATTGAAGCCACACATTGCCATACTCTTCTCTGGCCTTTGTTCCTCATATTCAGTCCATTGGCAAGCGCTGTCACATCTCCCTTTACAAAAATAAAAAATAAAAATTAAGCACTTTTCCCTAAAAGCACTGGTCAATACTCTGATCATGTGTTCCCCAGATTTCTGGGAGTTTCTGAAGATATGAATATCAGAAGAGTCTTGCTGGACCATCTACTCCAGCTTCCTCACAGCATCCAACCAGATGCCCACGTCATAAAGCATCTATATATGTAATGGACCAACGTATGAATTTGTCCCCAGTGTTTTGGTTTTGCCTTTTGCATGCAATTAATGGGGGAAAGTGCATTCATTCCTTTAACCTAATTGTGGCGTTCCAAGCCATAGCTGCTTGTACAGGGTATATCTCTTGAAATCCATCACCTGAGTATTGCCTAATAAAGTTTGTAAATGGCTTCCAAATGAGCAAAAATTACTTTTCCTAGCTCCGTAACAAACGTGCTTTCTATCCAAGAGGAGATTGGTTTTAGATCCTCCATTCATTCCTTTAATGATCAGCTAATTTGAATCTCAAGTCCCAAGAGTGCCACTGTTTCGGTTCAGAGTAATGCAACATTTACAATGTTTTATTGACATGAGGGCTGTATAAGTGCAGCTTCACGTATGCATTATACAAGAGTCAGCAAATTTAGGTGGATTAATAAAGATATCCATTAACTGTTGATCATGCAGGCTGATTGGGTTGTTGTTTTTCTCCAGACAAATCAACTTTCTGTTCACAGGAAGTCACTCACACACATATTCAATCTTTCCCACAGTAGTGGAGCTTTATATAAACGCTGAGAGGCTGCTTTAGAGATAAGTGTGTTGGACTTAGCCCGAGACTCATGTTCAAATCCTTACTTAATTATGGACCTGTCACTTGACCTGTGATATTAAATCATATATATCCGTATTCATGTCCTGTGCATATCCGTTCAAGCGGTTGTAAGAATGAAGCCCTCTTCAGGGACTGTGCCAGAATTGTTGTTGTTGTTTAGTCGTTTAGTTGTGTCCGACTCTTCGTGACCCCATGGACCAGAGCACGCCAGGCACTCCTGTCTTCCACTGCCTCCCGCAGTTTGGTCAGACTCATGCTGGTAGCTTTGAGAACACTGTCCAACCATCTCGTCCTCTGTCGTCCCCTTCTCCTTGTGCCCTCAATCTTTCCCAACATCAGGGTCTTTTCCAGAGAGTCTTCTCCTCTCATGAGGTGGCCAAAGTATTGGAGCCTCAGCTTCAGGATCTGTCCTTTCAGTGAGCACTCAGGGCTGATTTCCCTAAGAATGGATAGGTTCGATCTTCTTGCAGTCCATGGGACTCTCAAGAGTCTCCTCCAGCACCATAATTCAAAAGCATCAATTCTTCGGCGATCAGCCTTCTTTATGGTCCAGCTCTCACTTCCATACATCACTAGTGCCAGAATAGGATAGGTAAACACCATTAGGGGTTGGGGAACATGCTCAGTGGTCTTGCTGCTAACATTCCTGGAGGCACCATCTGCAAGCACACCATTCCCATTCCATTCCAAGTGTCTCGATTTTCCAGGGACATTCCCAGAATTACAAAAGCCATCCCAGCTCCTGATCTGATCCCAGAATGTCCCTGTTTTTCCTGCCAGGGCTGCTGCTGCCAAGTTCAAGAAGGAGGGTGAGCCGGCGTTTGTCCCAAATAGCAGCGGCAGTGAAGGAGCATCCTGTTGCCTCTCCGTGGCCTCTGCGTGGCAGCTGTTGCCCCTCATTTTCCTTCTTGATCAGTGGGATCGACAGAGCTTTACCACCCAGAGGATAGGAGTGCTCTATGAATGAATCCATTTTTGTTTTTATTGCTTGATTCCTTGGTATGTGGAAGGCAGAGTAAAAATGCTTCAAGTCAATAAGTTCACCTTAGCGCCTGTTTCTTGCAGCACCCGGGCTGCGATACCAACTGAGATCTTGCTTATTAGATCAGCAAGGCTGAATGAACATGCCAATAAAGCATGCCTGTGCATGAGAACTGAACAGTGAGAATGGTGCAACATGTGCATTTGCAAACATGCATGCAAACATAGACGCATTTCAAGATAATGTCCGGCAGAGTTATGTCCCTCTTTCTAAACTACAAGTTGCAGCTGAGGGTTGTTGCGAAGAGGAAAAAAAAAATGCAAGAGTCAAAGCAAATGGGGAACAACTATAATCTAATAAATAGTTCCCAACTGCGTTTCAACATATTCATCAGGGGAAATGGTTCCAAGAGTTAAACGAAAACCGCATCTCCTTCTAGCATTCATTGACAGAAGAATTTGATTGAGATGTGATGCTGAAGAAGGTTTTACTTAGCTGTTCTCTCTGTACCACTTGCTTTAATCAAAATCATGCACCACAAACAAATATCCTAAAGAAATGTATTAGCCATACTGGGGAATAAAGATAGGCACAGTACCTTGCTACCAGTATATATTCTCCTCCAACAAACCTGATAGCAGCTTTGGGGAAATGAATTTCACAGGGGAAATAGCACAGAGAAAAGATTCGGCACCTGCCACCTTAAGCTAGGTAAAGGTAAAGGGACCCCTGACCATTAGGTCCAGTTGTGACCGACTCTGGGGTTGCAGTGCTCATCTCGCTTTACTGGCCGAGGGAGCCAGCGTACAGCTTCCGGGTCATGTGGCCAGCATGAGAAAGCCGCTTCTGGCGAACCAGAGCAGCGCACGGAAACGCCGTTTACCTTCCCGCCGGAGTGGTACCTGTTTATCTACTTGCACTTTGACGTGCTTTCGAACTGCTACTGCCCCAATAAAAGTTGAAGTTCTTAAAGGGGGGGAGGACAGCAAATCACAGTCCAGATCTTATGAATCAAATCCATTTTTGGCCCCCTAGTTCATAGGTACCAGTGGCGGAGCTTCATGCTCCAGCACCAGGGGGCGGAGAGCAGGTGGGGGCGGGGCTGGTGTGTGTCCTGGGGGCGTGGCACCCAGCATATGGAGGGAGAAGCTGTGATGGCACCCCACCAGGATCATGCTGCCGGGGGCGGTGCGCTCCCCCCGCTCTCCTCTTCCTCCGCCAGTGATAGGTACAGAAGGCTACTTTCAGCATCAGTCCAGCAATACCAGTGCACAAATTGGTTGAAAGGTTTATGGTAGGCTTGCCATACGTCAGGAAAATTCCTGACATGTTCTGATTTTCAGGTGTAAAATTGGCGTCGGGGGGAATCAGTAAAATTTATGGGAAAACCTGGATGTATGGCAACATGGTCGGGAAAGCAGCGGAAACAGCTCAATAAGCTTAAAATCACTATTTTTGTTTCCCCAAAAATGCTCAACAATTTGGGTTTGTTCCCAAAAAAATCTCAACAATTTTGGGGTCTCCCTACTTCCTGCACATCCTAATTTTGGGTAAGTTAGCATGTTAGTTCTGTTTAGAGTAGACCCACTGAAATTAATAGATGTGGCTAACATGGATCTATCAGTTTCAATGGACCTACTGTCAGTGCAACTTAGCTAGAGATGACCCTTAAAATAATACCTTAAAATATTAATATAATGGAAAAGGCGGGGGGGAGGTAATGGAGAGCAAATTAGAAATAACAAGATATCCACATATAAAAACTGGCAATGACTTACACACTGAGACTTACATTGAGAGCCAGTGTGGTGTAGTGGTTAAGAGCAGTAGTCTCGTAATCTGGGGAACCGGGTTCGCGTCTCCGCTCCTCCACATGCAGCGGCTGGGTGACCTTGGGCCAGTCACGCTTCTTTGAAGTCTCTCAGCCCCACTCACCTCACAGAGTGTTTGTTGTGGGGGAGGAAGGGAAAGGAGATTGTTAGCCACTTTGAGATTCCTTAAGGGGAGTGAAAGGCAGGATATCAAGTCCAAACTCTTCTTCTTACACTGTAAACAATTAGCTAGTTTGGAATTATTTGGGATTCATTATTTAAGACACACCGAACCCTTTCTACATTCTTCGTACTAATTCCCCAAGTGAATATAGTACCCTCAGACAGTTTTCTCCTTGCAAGTTTGATTTATTACTTACACCATTAACCCACTTCCCTCTTTCAAGTTATCATATGAAGGGTCCTTCCATAAGCCCAAGACTTACGTTTCTCTCCATACAGAATTTTATTCATCGACCAGCCTTGTTTTCAACAGCACAAAGCACATTCGAGAACAAATTCCACCCGATTCTCCCCCAGCTAACAGTTCAAATGGAAAGCAGGGCAGCTTGCAAAACCAAGGCAGCCTGAGTCGCTCTTGAAAGCACTTGGTCTGCTTCTTTTTCCTCTCCTTTTAGAGACTCCGCTTCTGGGTTCTGCAGAGGCAACAAGACGACCACTGTGGGGAAAGTATAAGATTGATCGAAGTTTGGTCTGATCCAACAGGGCTCTCATGTTCTCGGGTTATCTTTGTACTCTTTCGGTATTTTGCAAGGCACCTTGAGGGCTCTTTGAAGCCACCTGCCAGGATAGAAGTCTACTTCTATATTTTTTAAAAGTAATTAAGTCATTCCCAGGGTTCTGGGCTTGCCTCCTCCCAAATTCTGAATCATGCCAAAATGCAAATAGAGTTTCTCAGAAAGCAGATCATATTTACATTTATACACTTGAGCTGTAAATGTGGTATGCTTACAATTGTAATTTGGGTGTGTGTGTGTGTGTGTGCCAGTGTAGTGTACGTCAGCTCTGAGAATTTGCAGGAACATTGAACGAGGTTGTCTGAAGACAACGACTGCATGATAGTCTCTTCAGGCAATATCCCTCTTTGAACAAGCTAGAATTTCCATATCAGCTTGAGCTGAGCACAGAATAAAAAGACTTTGGAACGTCACAGATGGAAGAAACACCCCCCAGGTCTTCATAATGGGCAAATAAATCCCTGCGGTCTGGAGCTAAAGGCACTGATTTGTACTTATGGGGAAGAAATCCATAAAGACCTCAGAAAAGATATATATATAAGAGCCAGTGTGGTGTAGTGGTTAAGAGCCGTAGACTCCTAATCTGGGGAACTGGGTTCGCGTCTCCGCTCCTCTACATACAGCTGCTGGGTGACCTTGGCTAGTCACACTTCTCTGAAGTCTCTCAGCCCCACTCACCTCACAGAGTGTTTGTTGTGGGGGAGGAAGGAAAAGGAGAATGTTAGCCGCTTTGAAACTCCTTAAAGGGAGTGAAAGGCGGGATATCAAATCCAACTCTTCTTCTCTTCTTCTAAAACACCAAAGCAAAGATGCTGGAATTTTTGATGGCACAGAATTGAGGTAACAAGGCCTGCATATCACAATTTTACCACATTTGAAATATGGCCTGACATTCAAATTTTTGCTAGCTACAGAATTCCGAGGAAGTTTTGCACCTGTAAATTATTGTGATACACTATTTTCAATAAAATGAGAGAGTACGTGCATCTGCACTTTGCTTGGATCTGATAAGCTCCCCTAGATTCCTTATTGAATGTAAAAGATATTTTACATACAACCAAGAGATATTGAGGCCAGGGGTTATGCAGTATCTCTATACAAACCTTCAGAAAGATTTTCACACTGAACAGAAAGAAAAAGGTTAAATCCAGGCTGTATTTTCAATGGTTTTAAAAATGTTTGCTCCTCTCATAAAACTTAGCATGTATATATCAGCAGCAACAATGAGGTATTCTTCTTGAGTCAGCTTTAAAATAATGTTGACATTGCAGTCGATTCGTTATGGATTGCCATATTTATGTCAGAACGTATTGGCACAAGAATACATCAATAATATAAAATATTTAAGGATAAGTCTTAAGTTTAAATTAAACCTTACGATTCCACGTTCCTTTCTTCATCTTTTTCGCTCTGCTGATCTTAAATGACAGGTTCCGCAGGTAATGATTTTAACATCTTTCTCTTTTTTGTCAGCAACTAAAACTACTATTTTTAAATAAGTCTCTGCAGAGGAAAACTGGAAGTCACATCTTGGCTAGCTGATTCTATACATCTGTAATAAATGCCTATATCTGGACCTGAATTTGCAGCTAAAGAATTGTATCCAATGGTGTACACACACACACACACGGTTACTGGTTCTCTGCATTAGACAAGCAAGAATGTCAATACCATACTTTTTTTACTTTAAAATAAGGTTAAAAATCTGGGGCATCTTATACATGGATAGTGCATATGCCCATTTTCTAAATTTGGGGTCCCAAAAGTAGGGGGCGTCTTATACATGGGGGTGTCTTATACACGGAAAAATATGGTACCCTTCAGAATCAAAACAAAGTTCCATTAGGCACAAATTAGAAAGGCATTAAGCAGATCATTCCTAGTTGGTCCCAAGGATCTTAATACAACACTAGTGCATCTGAATTACCAGGCATGTTGATAGATTCAACCTTCATAAAGCCCTCTCATCCCTTTAGGTCATCAGTCCAGCAGGCTAATCCCTGTAACTACCTACACACATGAATGGCCTACTTATGTCAACTAAACATCTTAGGTTAATAAATATATGTAGCAGTATAGCTCCTCTTCTGCAAATAGGAAAATCACAACTTGGAACTAATGATCTTTTGAGAGTTTCATCTTTCTACTTTACTCTGACCACATGCATGAGCAGCCATGGATTATCCAGTGACAGCAATGTCTACATAGGCTATAAAATGATAGCCATGTTGTCTCTTGTGATAGTAAATTCTAAGTTATTCATGCATTGTGCAAAAATCATTTCCTTTGTCTGCCCTTAACTACTTCCAATCAATTGCACTGGGCAACCCAAAGTATGAGAATGGAAGGGGGGGGATCTCTTATCTACTCCATTTGTAATTCCATAATCTTCTGTCACATACTCCCTGACCTTAGTCAACTTTTCTCTGAACTAAAAGCTTCAGCTTTTTTTTTGTTACTTCTCATAGGTAAGGTATGTCATATTTCAAAAGGTAAAAATCCAGGCACAAAAGTTGTTGAGGTTTTTTGCCCAATATGAAAACTGTAGGGTTGCCATATGTCCAGACACAGTTTAGCTCCATGGAAAAAACTTCTGGCTTGTGGTGACAAAGTAACAAATAATGAAAAGAGTCAGAAGATGGCGGCTCGGCAGGGAGTTGCATAAAGGGGCTCTGCATTGTTCCTCCAAGAAAGGTTTTATCAGCTGTTTTTAAAGTCTTTTAAAAAACCTTATCCATCTGTAATTTTCTGGGACTCGGAACCTTGTCTGAACTGTTTATCTCCTCTAGAAATCAATCCACACATGGCTGCAGAGATGTGATAGCTTGACTTATTTAATAATAGTTTGGTTCAGACATAGCAGACTATGAGCCAATGGCTCATCAACCTGATAACAAGCCACAAGCCCGCATGCTCCCTCCTGCCCTCCTGTGCCCACTTTGGTGCTTCTTGTTAGTTTCTGTTTGCCACTGTGCAGCTGCTTAGAGTCACAGGACTCTGTTTACATTCCAGAGACAGTCCAGGCTGTTGGAAGTCTCATGGGAGACGGGAGATGGGATGTGACGTTAGTGGTTTCCTGTTCCTTTGTTCCTTTGTTGAGTTGCTCTCTGCTCTCACAGGAAGAGGATGTATTTTTGTCTGCGTAGTAAGAAAAAAGCATAGCGATGTAGCCATAAATCTCATCACTTCTGCTGCTTTGATTCTCTGCTGAATGGGAATGTGCCTGAGGCCTCATCAAAGGCTCAGGTCGTTAATTATTCGTCGGAAGGGCGATTCTGGAGGGAGATGAGCTTTATCAGCTTGGCCGAGCGGAGATCCCGACACTTCTGTCCCCGCTTGTTTCCTTTAACGTCTGAATGAGGAAATGGCAGTTTCCTCATTCCTCATTGGATTGATCATATTCCGGCTTGTAAGCAGTGATTAAGCTAGTTTCTCAGTTAAAAAGGCACAGGGAGCTGAGCACATGAACAAAGAAGGCCCCTGAGTGCATTGTTTGTCCTCAGGCTCATAAACCATGGTTTATCGTGACTTAATTGAGACAGTAACTGTTGTTTTATTTTTAATTCCCCTCCTAATAATTCCTAGCATTGTACTTGCCCTTTTCAACAAACCAATGCCTCTCCACAAAGCTGCCCATTAGGACCCCAAGATTGGTTTCTTGGATAGTTGCAGCTAATTGGCATCAGCATATATACCTTAAGTTGGTAATGTATTCTAAAAGTAGTAGCCATGAAAACGTATCTAGGAAATGGGTCAAAACCACCACTTCTGCAAGCCACACAACTGCTACTGTCTACCTAGGAGACCACTTCCTACTTCTGCTAAAGTGGACTTTGGTCTTCATAATTTTTGGCCATGATAGATTTGTTAAGTTTTAAGTTGGTTTTCCTACAACAGACTATACGAACTCTGTCCCAGCTAAACTGTCATTACCGAGGCCTTTCCCATAATACAGTCTTATCTCATGATATTACATCCAATCCACTTGTTTCCATCAGCTGTATTATTTGGGCAATCAGTAAGGCCTTTGAGGAATGGAACATCATCGAGTCACATGTCTGGGCAGTATCAGTACCTAAGACAATTAAATCCTGATCTAATTGACTGCAGCTCTGGGACAATCTGACAATAATGAGTCAATCAGCAGCCTCATTGATTTCACTGGCATTACTCATGCCGGTAACATTACATGCCCAGAATACCTTTGCAGAATTGGGTCAATATAGTAAGGGTCCCTTGCTTGTCAGGAAGGCTTCAGTTTGAATTGCCCAGGCAGGGCAAATGCAAAGTAGTAGCTAACTGGCTTCCCCGTTGCTGACATTAACAGCTGCATAATAGCTCCATGAGCAAGCTTTGTAAACATGTAAACAGCACAATTAATTGCAGTGATTATGCTCTTAGAAAAATAGAGCATTTCAGTAATTTGGAGCACATTATAGCTTCGTGTTTACAGAACTCCAGGCACATCGGAAAATTAAATATATTTAATTTAGGCTTCAATTGTCTCCTCTTCAAGAAAACGTAAGGCAACAAAATCTTGCACACACAGTCAATTCCATAATCTGGCAAGTCAAACTGAGGGCAGGACTGCATGCATGTAATCTTCCTGAAGGGGGGAGATATTTTAGGCCACAGCCCCTCAAAGAGGACTGTGGTTTCTTTACATGCAGTGAGTGTGATCAGTCCCAGTGTCACAATTTGTATCCCAGTAGGATATCATATGCTGGATGAGCAATGAGAGTGGCTCTGTGTCTTGCGTCACAGAGATGTGTTCTCCATTGGAAGGTTGTCCAGTCCAACTCTTGTTTAAAGATAAACAAGCACAATAAGGGAGATCACAGGGGCGGCCAGCTGCTGGACAGCAGACTGAGCAGACACACAGGTTGCCTGGCCACAGTCTTACCCATCAATATATATATATATTGCATTTTTATTTCAAGTGCAGTAATTATTTCTAAATGCTGGATCAACAATACATCTTAAGGAGCACACACAACTCTTATGGGAATCTGTCATCCATGGTATGCCCCACAGAGGACCTTAAGGTCCTTTAATAGCAACACCCTAGAGGTCCTGGGCCCTAAGGAAGTCAGATTAGCCTCAACCAGAGCCAGGGCCTTTTCAACACTGGCTCCAGCCTGGTGGAATGCTCTGTCTCATGAGACCAGGGCCCTGCAGGGTCTGTAAGACAGAGTTGTTCCGCCTGGCCTTTGGCTTGGAATCAACTTGATCCCCTTCCCCTCTTTTCTTTTTCCTTTCTCCTTCTGTGATGGAACTCCTATTTGGGGACTTCCCTGGCTTTTTTCTGGCCCACGTCGAACCAGTCTGGATAGTTTGGCCTTGGTGAAGTTTTGACGTTTTCATCCCCTAAAAAGTTTTTGAGTTTCTACTGAAATGAGGCTGCATTTTAATGTTGTATTTTAATCTTACATTTAAAGAATATCCAACACACAATTGAAGTTCATAGTTTGCTATGATTGTTGGGAATTGTAGATCTGTGAGGGGGAAAATGAGTCTCCAGGACTCTTTAGGGGAAGTCATGTGCTTTACATGAACACTGGATGTGCTTAAAATATATGGTGTGCTCCTGCCCTGCATGTCCACTCTGTGAGTCACTAGTTTTATTTCTCTCTTACATCCACCTTTTCCAGCCATCCCATCCAGTTTTCAGGGTCGTCCCCTTTTGACCATTCGTCAGTATCTGTAGGCACTGAGCACGCTCACTCCTTGCTAGGGTATTGGGCAGGGTCCTTCATTAGCTTTTCCTTTTTCAAATGACTGCATCCAACACTACCATTTAACTCCAGCAACAAGCTTCTACTTGTGCAGTGGATCCCCCCATTCTCTAGTCCTAGAACCCCCTCAAAATCTGCTGCGGGGGGCTGCAGGTATTGGAAAGGCAAGAGCAGAAATCATTCTATTTGTGACTTAAGGGCTAATTCTGTTATTTGTCAGCCAACCAAGGGGTGTTGGGTGGAGGTGAAGCTAGTGACCCAGCAGAGACCAAGCATGGTCTTCATTGAAGTAGCTCTGCGGGAGTCTTTCCCTCCATATGATTGGCTGAACGAACAGGGTCTGAAGCAGGAAATGCAAAAGCTCTCTGTTCCTTTGTCCTCAAACTGCACACTGGTTTTTCTTCCATTTGCTCAGTAAAGTGTTATCAGGGCTTTTCTCTCTGGCTCTGCTAATAGAAGCACCCTCAGATGTGGGGAACACAGGAAGGTAAAGGGAAGTCCTTTTGCGGCTTTGGCTATAAATGTTTGATGTTTTATTATGTTTTTATATTTTGCTGGAAGCCGCCCAGAATGGCTGAGGAAACCTAGCCAGATGGGCGGTGTACAAACAATAAAATTATTGTTATTATAACCCCCAAACTTTTGTATTTCTTCAGATTTCCCCAAGTATGCTGCTACCTGTCTTGTCCAAAGCTGTTGCCACTCTTGACTGCCTACACAAAAACAATGGGAGAACTGAGTCAGAACTTAAAATTAGAAGGATTTGGGTTGATCAGAAATGGCTGGGCCAACTTGAGACTTTACTCCTATGGCAATTTATCCCATGCTTAGTGACAAGATTTAAGTAGTAGTGTCATTAAATGAAGGGGACTTATTCATAGGTGGGTTTTGCTTTACTGAATAAAAGGCTCCCACACGTTGACTTTTTAAAAACTGGTCGTCCTCTCTCAGGGTAAAGATGTTGCCAAATTTGGCTTGAGCTAACTCTTGATAATGTGGAAATTAAGTGATACTGTGAAGTGAGTCCAAGAGATGCGCTCTACTTCAGTGATTACATCTACAGGAGTTGTCATTATTTATATAGACTGTCACTTTTCTGTATGAAATAGTGGGGGGGGGGGGTTCATTGATTTGTATTAATAGGATACTGGTGACATCTAGTGGCTGGCTTAATAACATATCTCCAGTGTGAGTAACTCTGGGATTTCACTTCTGAAATGTAAAATAACATCGCAGTTCTCCACAGGCTTGTTAAAGGTTCCAATCTAGCAACACTCTTAGGACAAGCCATGGGACCAAGTGCACGTCAACAAATGTTTCCACCAGAACTGAGTCTCTAGGCTATACTCCAAAATACACTGAAATGGAAAATCGGTAATGGGGATCAGTGGCTAAGCTATGCTCTAAGAAGCCCTCCAGTCAAGTAGAACTTCATTATTCTGGAGGCATGCAAGCATTTCAGTGCTAAACCAGCAGGATGAGCCCATGAGAAAGACCCATGCAGTCAGCCACGTTCAAGCAATCGTGCTACTCATACGCACTGCAGCCTCAAGCAATATACGCACTGCAGCCTCAAGCAATAACACCATGTGGGAATGTGGTTCTTGCAGCTGTGGGTATGAACAAGGGGTTTGGGTTGGGGTAAAAATAAAACCAGATGCTACTTGAAGACTTGCTAAAACTGCTAGTGTATAGAATCTTTAATCTGCAAATAAATACAGCATGCTCCCTGTTATACACCCCGCAGCCCTGGGAGTCCTCATAAGGGAGCTGTGCCTGGAGGAAGAACTGTGAGGGGAGAGACTTCATCAGGCAAGGCCTTCTTCCACCTGCCTTGCCACACCCTCCAGTCTCTGCTTCTCAGTTTGTATTGTATTATTTTATGCACTGTGACCCGCCATTGTTTTATTGATTATAGTTTAGAAATTATTTATTGTAATTGTCAAGAGTGTATTTCTGTTTAATTTTGATATGCTGGTATTTAATATTATTCTATTCTAATGGATTGTTGAATATTACTTTATTTGATATAAGTTGCTTGTTTTAAAGTTATGTCTTATTATCACATTTTTGTATTGGATTAGATTGTTGCAAGGTGTATATTCTTTGTTTCTTCAGCTTGTAAACCGCCTTGGGTATTGTAAAATAGAAAGATGGTGTACAAATTAAAAGGGAAAGGAAAGGAAAGGAAAACACTACGCAGGCTCTAACAACCAATTTGGTTTTGTTGACGAAAATGCTGGCAAGGGAATCCAGAAAGTATTTCATGATGATTCAGACTCTCAGAAGTGACCACTGGAAAACATTGATCCACAGGTTGACAGATGAGGCAGTGCACTCGCTTTCAATCTCTGGGATTATTGAAACAACTTTGAGGGGACTCTCATGAGGGTGTCGGAAACAGAGTATGCAGTATCGATTTCCATTACAGTCTTTATTGTGCAACCATCTATTTGGTAAGTAGGGTATTAAACAGCAGATAACAACATTGGTGTTTTCTGAAAAGCCAGTGCTAAAGCATTCTTTATGGTCCTACACCTGGTATTCAGGTACCATATTATTTATAGGGCTCCCCAACACTTTCGCTGGATGGTGGACTCTTTATTTTTAACTGCAATAGGCAGAAACTCAGAAGAGGAAATACTTGCAGTTGTAATGGTGGAAAATGTTTCAGCTGATGGATTTTGCTCCTGCCATGAAAGGTATAGTAACCTACTAGGAAAAAGAAGAAGAGTTAATCCTGGTTAAATGTTGGTGTTATAGTTAATATTCCAGCTCCAGCCTATGATGGCTTAATTGATTTCCCCCACAAGTTGAGCTGAAGTATTTCCGGGGTGGGGGAGAGAGATTTTAAAAACTTATTTGAAGTGGGATGCAGATTTAACATCTTTTCTTTCCTGGATGAATAGAAATCTTACTCCCTGCGGTCTCACACAAGGGACCCGCTGGTTAAATATCAAAAACTTGTTTCATGAACTTCCCTAATTAGATGTGAATACTGCAAGGATGTGGAAAGGAAGCTGGAAAGCAAAAATATGCAAAGCGTTCCCTAGGTTGTACATGAAGCCTAATAAATACCTCAAGTCTCCTTAGGCTGCAACAAGCACCTACCTCTGCGCCACAAAAAAGTCCTCCCCAAAGCAGCACAGCTATGTAAACCTATTTATAGACCAAGAAGCACCTCCACCTGGGCTTATCAAACCAACTCTTTGTTCTTTACAACCCAAGCAGCAGCTTGAGTTACACCACATATTCACCCTCCTGCTTCAAAATAAGCAAAAAAAAGCCCATCTTGATTATCAAGAAAGGCTTTGTGCAAATAGTGATCATTATCCTGGCCTCCCATAGGAACGACTGTGGTCTGCTGGAAGATATGTATCTGACTAAAAACCAAATACAGCCTCTCATTTTCTTCCATTTTTATACCAGTTTATTTGCCGGTGTATATTTTTGCAAACCACTTTCGGAAGCTGCTTTTTTAAAAAGCACTCTATATAAATTTTGTTAGGTAAACAAAACAAAGATTTGAGGAGTGGCGTAGTGTGGGTTGCCAGTGCCCAAGGCCACGCATTGGTGGTGAGTGGGAGGGAGGGAAATAGAGGAGAATACTGTACACATGTGTATTCAACAGCCTAACGGTGTCCACAACACCCAAGAGATTGCAGTTGCAGAGATAAAAAAAGAAGAGTCATTCCGTTGTCTGGAGAAGTAGCTTCCTGGTTCACATGGAGAAACCTTTTTTAAAACAAATAAATAAATAAATAAAGGATACAGGATATTCTCTCACAAAAATATATTAACTTTTGTCCCATACAGAAAAAGAGGTGTTCTCCTAGCTCTTCACTGGCTGGCTCCATGCCTCTGCATTCAGCAAAGCTCTGAATGGAAAATAGCTGTACTCACGCAGCTCCTTCATGCGATCAGGCCTTCCCAAAAGCTGAAGTGAGTGCAGCTGGCTTCTTCTTCTTCTTCAGACTGTATGGTGCACTCTTGTCAGTCAGCATAAACCCTCCTGAGCAAAATGGGCCAACTGTCTGATTCAGTACAAGTCACCTTCTTTGTTCATACAGGTCCAAGGATTAAAAATGGTGCTGGTTTTTTTTTTACTGATTACCTAATCACTTTTTATTAATCAGCATAATCAGCTACAGTCTACAGTGGTACCTCGGGTTAAGTACTTAATTCTTTCGGGAGGTCTGTTCTTAACCTGAAACTGTTCTTAACCTGAAGCACCACTTTAGCTAATGGGGCCTCCTGCCGCTGCCGCGCCGCCAGAGCACTATTTCTGTTCTCATCCTGAAGCAAAGTTCTTAATCCAAGGTACTATTTCTGGGTTAGTGGAGTCTGTAACCTGAAGCGTATGTAACCTGAGGTACCACTGTATGTTATCAGGTAAGCAATAAAAAACTCAGCAACCACAAATAAGTACTTCTGAATACAGGTGCTAGAAGACAAAAAAGCAGCGGGCTGCTGCCATCCCACCCTGTTTGTTAGCTTTCCAGAAGCATCTCGTTTTGGAAGTCAATGCTGGACGGATCTTTGGGTCCAATCCAATAGGGCTTCCTCCCTGCCCTAGACTGCAAAGCTGCTTTGCTGGGGAAACAAAGAGCACCATAGTTCAACGGAACAGCCATTTCAGATAATTACCTTTCAATTCAAGCCAGCCGTCAAACATAACTTGTTCATTGAGACATAATGGAACCATAAAATTCATACAGAGTAATTTGTTTTGAGTATAATGTTTCCCCATTTGCTTCTGGCAGCATTCAGTAGAAAAGCCTTAATAACCAGCTTCACAATGGCGCAAGTTTCTAAACAGCAGAAAATTTATCGGCACTTGGAGGAGCTGGGCGACTGCTGTCCCAAAACCAAAAGCCATCAAGCCAGAACACACACAGAGAGAGAGAAACACACACCTCCCCTGCGGCCATCACCTCCAGAATAATATACCGTAAGTGAGCCTGCATTCATAAAGGGACCAGCGACCCACATATTTTCATGAAGCCAAGTTCTAGAACCCGAGGACACCCAGAGAAGTTGAATGGGCAAAAGGAATCCGCCTCACGCAACATAAACTATGGAAATCATTATGCTTTGATGGGCTTTTTGTTTAAAATGTTGCACACTGCATTTTTTCATAACAAGCAACCAATTCTCTGTAGTGGTTTCCACCAAACTGGGTAGCTTTAAAAGGGGATTGCATAAGTTTCTGGAGGACGAGGCTGTCGCTGGCTACCATTCAGGACAGCTATTCACGATACTGGCAGTATTCCTCTGAACGTTGTGGCCAATAACACCAAAATTTGACCTGGAAGAAAAGGTATTGGACAGAACCATTTTACGCCCCCCCCCCAATGGTTGACCATGGATCAATCAGGCCCTTGGCCCCGAAAACATTTGCCACCCCTGCTTCAAAAAGTAATTCTGAAGTCAAAACCCAATGGAAGGTTTGAAACTGAAAATCAACAAGTAGGGAGGTTGTAAAGGATGGCATTTGGCCCATTTGCTTATATGCAATTTCATGAAAACCAGGTCATTTTACGTAGAATCAAGCTTAATCTGAAGAAGAAGAAGAAGAAGAAGAAGAAGAAGAAGAAGGGGAGGAGGAGGAGGAGTTTGGATTTGATATCCTGCTTTATCACTACCCGAAGGGGTCTCAAAGCGGCTAATATTCTCCTTTCCCTTCCTCCCCCACAACAAACACTTCTGTGAGGTGAGTGAGGCTGAGAGACTTCAGAGAAGTGTGACTGGCCCAAGGTCACCCAGCAGCTGCATGTGGAAGAGCGGAGACATGAACCTGGTTCCCCAGATTACAAGTCTATCGCTCTTAACCACTACACCACACTGGCTCTTTAGCCAATGGAAGTAGGTATTTACACCAGAGAAACTTCATGAGTAGGACAGTATCCAATGAAGCAGTTGTGCCACTAGAATGACCTTTTTTCCCAGCACAACCCCTAAATCTGCTTCAGAAAATGGTGGGATCCCCTCTTGATGGGGGGGGGGCCATCATGGGAAGAGGAAAGCAGGGAAGTTGCAGCGCACAGCTAAGAGTATTAATATATCTGAGCAAAAGGCAGAGTTACAATCTCTATCTGCATAAAAGAATAGCTTTATCATATTATTTCCCACCAGCACAGTTTCTCCAGATATAAAATTAGCCCTAACTTGTTACTACTTCAAATAAAACATAAAGAGCTCAACGTAATAAGCTGGCTTGCAACACTTGTCTTCCCATCCACCTGAGTATTTTGCTATAAAATAAGTGAAAACAAATATTAAAAGGCAGCATACTATTGTGTTTATTTGGCTTTATTAGCAAGAAGGGGGAATAATTACAATTACAAATAAGCCATCCATTTAGAATTTACATTTTCCTCTAAAATATTTTATTATTATTCCTCATGAAATAAGTAGTAAAAGAAATGCATCCAATTGACTTGGGAGTATACGACTTTTTTTTTAGGTCATCAATGTTCAGGTATAGTGTGTTCTAAAAATAAGTCTTGTGCTTGAGTAAAGAGAACTGTGTTCCAGAGCCTTCAGCAGAGTTTCCAAGACTGTGTAGATACTGCTTGTTATAGCTTAAAGGTAAAGGACCCCCGACAGTTAAGTCCAGTCGCGAATGACTCTGGGGTTGCGGTGCTCATCTCGCTTTACTGGCTGAGGGAGCGGACGTTTGTAGCAGACAGTTTTTCTGGGTCATATGGCCAGCATGACTAAGCCACTTCTGGTGAAACCAGAGCAGCACACAGAAACAGTGGAGCGGTACCTATTTATCTACTTGCACTTTGACGTGCTTTCGAACTGCTAAGGTTGGCAGGAGCTGGGACCAAGCAACGGGAGCTCACCCCTTGCGGGGATTCAAACCGCCGACCTTCTGATCGGCAAGCCCTAGGCTCAGTGGTTTAGAGCACAGCGCCACCCGCCAGCCCCTTTGTTATAGCTTAGGCAACATTAAACTGTCAGATAATGGAAAATGAACAGTACAATTGCATGCATGCCAACCTAAAGGAATTTCTACCAGATTCAATGGGATATGCTCCCAGTTAAGTATGTAAAGGATTGTAGCCGAAGAGATTCCACACAGTACATTTGTGTACAGTGGTACCTTGGTTCTCAAACTTAGTTCGTTCCAGGAGTCCGTTCGACTCCCGAAACCATTTGAAAACCAAGACGCAGCTTCCGATTGGCTGCAGGAGCTTCCTGCATGCAACTGGAAGCTGCAGAAGCTGTGTAGGACGTTCGGCTTCCAAAAAACTTTTGCAAACCAGAACGCTCACTCACTTCCAGGTTTGCGGGGTTCGGGAGATTTGTTCAGGAGCCAAGCCATTCGAGTACCAAGATACCATTGTACTATCTTGGGATCAACATTCAAGTTGAAAGGTGCACCAGCTTATATAACCACCGGTAACATCCAGTGTTAACCAACTGATGACTGCATTGCTAGTAATGCAATATTTAACTATTAACAGCTTCATATTAAAACATTTCTGCAGCGATAGAAGCCTGAAGATGACCCTGAGGCCCGTCTCCTCCTGGAATTTTAATCCATTTCATTTATGGCCACAACAAATGGCTTTTCTTATTGCAGCAAACTGCAACAGCAAGTTCTACCATTTTATTGCTACCATTACCTTAATAAAGAAGAAATACATTTTAAGCTATTTCCATAGGAAATGTCATGCTTCTGCTTTTCACCAACACAAAATATGAAAATTCCTACATTTTCAAGAAGTCACTTTTAAGGTAGTAGTGTGTTTAAAAGGTTTCCAATAAAAAGCTTAAAATTTCACAGAAATAAATAGTCTAGTGAATTAAGGCTCCACTGCTTCCTTCTTAAGAGCAAAAGAAATCTAGAATGTAGATAAAAGATATGAGAGTTCAGAGTGTGGTTATACTGAACAGGTATTTTGTTTTGTTTTTTGCCCCAAATTCATATTGTTTATGAAATTCTATTCGAAGTGCAGGAAAACAGTAAGTGGATATGAGTTCTAACTAAAGCAGGTGACTGCAAACAGCTGTAAATCCATGGAAACTTTTTAAAAAGTAAAATAGTTCCATCCCACCCACTTTGGCATAGAATTCTATGTAGCATCTTGAAAATCTTCCAAGAGGTCAGCTAAATGCTTGTTGGCACAAGATCTAATATTGACCGCTTTTCATTCTGTATATTGCCGCTCTCTTCCACAGAAGAGTAGGGGGGTCCTGTGTTGCACAAAATTTCACACTGCCATTTCCACATCTTGAACACAATTCTGCTATTTCAACACACTTCTGTGTGCCAGTGCAGCTAAGTGGCAAACATAGGTGTCTGGCAGCTGCAAAAGCAAGAAAGAGTAAGGCATCTCATCAGCAAGTATTTCCAGCTTATCAGCTATTTTTTAAGCAAGGAAGGGCAGGTTCACACATGCATATTCACCCCCTGGCAAGCGCAGCGCAAACCCACGATGGGCATGTACAATGGGAAGGCATATTCGCCACAGCTGCATCTTTCAAACCCCTTTAAAGGTGACGCTTTTCAGTGGAGTCTATTCACAGCTCTTTACTTATCTCATGTTTGGTTTTGTCCTTTGCTACTACAGTGAAGAGGATCAAGCACACCTTGTCTCTGTCCTATAAAGAGCCCATCAGCTACATGTGACATTGCCACGGTTCATGACCATTTCTCATTAAAGGCTGTGAACCTGAGATAATAATTGGATGGGTGCTCATACAGCCGTACCTCAGAAGTCGAACAGAATCAGTTCCGGAAGTCCGTTCGATTTCTGAAATGTTCAGTTTCCAAAGTGCGGCTTCTGATTGGCTGCAGGAAGCTCCTGCAGCCAATCGGAAGCCCCATCGGACGTTCAGCATCCGAAAGAACATTCGAAAACTGGAACACTCACTTCTAGTTTTCGATTGTTCAGGAGCTGAAACGTTTGACTCCCAAGGTGTTCGGGAGCCGAGGTATGACTGTACTTCATTACGCTGAGCATACAAAGTTGATCTGTACAGTCTACTTTGACAAGCCAAATCCAATGTGTCACCAAAAGTTTTTACGTGGCCCTAGCTACCAGAAGTCCATTTAACTGAGATTTTCTGAATGCAAATAATATGATTTGCCACCAACTATACATTTTGTTGACTTGCTCTATTGGGCTAGTATTTAGTGCAAAAGGTGGTTTGGTAAGATATCCTTATCTAGAGCAATACATATTGCAATCTTTTAAAAAGAAATATTTTGGTTATCAGTACCTGAGCACCTAATCTGGAGAGATACCTATTCCTCAAACTAAAGTCATTCTTTGGTTGCAATTTGGCTAAGTCATCTTCATTCTGACGTCTGATTTTTTCCCGTCTTTTTGCTCTGTAAAAAAAAGGGAACTGCTATTAACACAAATGTGCCCAGAAGTTTCGTTGCACGTTATACCGAGATCAGGGTTACAGTTAAGTGCAGCTGCCAGATAAATGGAGGCAGAGTAAGTCATACCAATTTGACAGGCAGTAAAGACAGACACTATCTTCATTTATTTATTTATAAAGGTCGAAAAATTGAGTGCAAAGTGCAAGTTTTGACACAGTCGGTCAAGTTTTAAGCTTTGCCTTTAACAACAAAAATGCTTTAAAACAAATACAATTCCAGTACAAAAGCAGGGACAAATGCCCCTAACCAAGACAGCCTGCCTAGCAGCCTGATAGAAAATCCATCCAGATTTGTTTCTCTCAAATGACATTGTATTTGCTTTTGCAGAACTTATCCAAATCAGTCTACCACCACACAAAGATTTCATGATCCTTGCAAGTCATTACCATGTTTGTTTTTTTATTATGAAACCAGAATTTCAAATAAGAAACTGAAGATTAATACCACATTTAGTAAGGCAATCACCCCTTCAGAACACAAGTGACAGTAATGGAGTAACAAGGTGCCATTATTAGTAGGCAAACCATCGTCGTTCCACAATAGAAAGTTTAAAAACTGCAGCCCATAAACCAAAAGATCTGCTCCAACAAGTTGGAAGACAACTTCAGTTCAACAGCAACCGTCTCTTCAGCGATGTGTAGATACACCAAATACACGAGTTTTTGCTCCAACTGTGGTCAAAGTGCTTTGACAAAGAAGCAAGTTTGACAATTTACACAAGTCCAGGTCTCGAAAAAGTTCTATGCAAGTTAGTTAAGTTTTCCAACTACTTTGTCCAAGCGCTAGGCATCAAAGTTTCGCCACACACACACAATAAACCACTCTTCGACTGGCCAAGCTGCTGATCAAGCGCTCCCCACTTCCGGTAGGTATTTCCTATTCAGATTTCTTTTCTGCAAGAAATAGTTTAGCAAAAGGTTATTGTAACAGTTTGCTTACAGGCTCTTTGTCGCTTGTCAGAAGTGTCACGGCGCTATACTGTGCTTTTAGATATCACCTGAGAATGGGCTAAGAATCCATCACAAAGGAGCTGGTTCTTCCCAGACAAAGCTTCAGATACAAGTAAGCAACTGTTTTCATGTTGAGATGTCCACTCTGGCTTAAGGGAACAATGCAGTTGGAAACATTCCTGTACATGTTTCACTTAAATGAATGGGAAGCATGAAGGGAGAACTGTGTGCTCTCATACGCCAACCATTCATTTCAATGGGAGTTGGTGCAAGAGGTGCAGTTGGTGCATTTAACTTTATACATCCAATTTATTGCCTGCCCTTCGCCATAAGCTCCCATGGCAGGTGGCAATTAAATCATACAGTTAAAAAAGCATGTAAAACAGTAAAGCTATTCCAGTATAGAAAGCGGTGGTGGGGTGACACATTATTACGGACTTTAATACCTTTTTGCATTTAGCTATTACTCCTTTGAAAGTGCTAAATGAGGCTTCAGCTTCTCTCTGCAGAACCTCTGCTGTGGCTAATTCATTAGGCTGGCTGGGGCTGGAAATATACAGAACACATTTTTTGCACCCCTAACCATTTTCAAAATATTCGCAAGAAATATGAAAACAAAAAGGCACAGTCTTCAATAGGGAAACATTTAAGAAAAGCTCGCTTTCAACAGCTGAGGAAATGGTTGGCATGAATTTTGAGGTTCTGCTTGCAATGTCGAATAGACTTGTACAAAAGTAAAAGACAAGGTTCCCGTCATTTGAAAGTGCCAAGTGTAAGAGTGTCTTTCCCACACATTTCAAATCTTGTCCAGCAGACAAATTGCAAGTATTTTTGAGATTCTGAGGACACCAGAAGCAGCTCTTGTATATGGCAAATGCTTTATTTACAGTGGTACCTCTAGTTGCGGACTTACCGTATATACTCGAGTATAAGCCGAGTTTTTCAGCATATTTTTTATGCTGAAAAAGCCTCCCTCGGCTTATACTCGAGTGCGGCGGGTCGCGGCGGAGGGACGAGTGGCGAGAAAGGAACCCTTTAGTTTTTTGTCCTAAAATTAGATGCCTCAGCTTATATTCGGGTTGGCTTATACTCAAGCATATATGGTCATTCGTTTCGGGGTGCCATTCGCACCCCGAAAAGTCCGCAACTAGAGTGCCTCTTCTGTGCATGTGCACGGCACGATCGAGTGCTTCTGTGAGTGCATGAAGATCGCTTCCGCGCATGCACGGGCGGCAAACCCAGAAGTAAACACTTCTGGATTTGTAAGCTGAAAGTCCATAACAAGAGCGGAACGCAAGATGAGGTATGACTGTACTATGATTATATCCCAACTTTCACCCAGGAAGTTCACGGAGGCATATAAATTGCTCCTTCCCTCTTCCCCCTACTTGTAAGTTCACAACCACCTTGTGAAATATGATAGACTGAGAGGAAAGCCCAACATTACCCTGTGAGGTCTGTGGCTGACTAGCAATTTAAACCCTAGTTTTCCACAGCCCAACACTCTGCCACTAATCACACTGGTCCCTTCATGTTGCAAGACCTGCATCTAGATATTTTCACGAAAGCAAACTGGCCTCCCCCTCAAAGGAAATATTTGCAATGACCTGCTGATTTCACCAGCATCTTTGCTTTGTAAAGCACCTTCCAGGGGAATATATTTGAACAAACACAGGACTCCTCCTTCTTTATGTGAAGTTATGTTATCTCAGTTTAGTGCTCCTACACATTTCACCTATAGCTATTAATGGGAGGATAAACACGGAGAATTATAACCATGTGCATCACGGCATTTTGGCATCATCTGCTTTCTTCTCAAGGTTATCGCCAGGCTATTTTCCTACAAGGAAATGATTTTCATATGGCAATTCTGGCACATCTAGAGTGACCTCTATGTAGAGTTTAATTTCTTTTAATTTCAAATTCTGTTCTGAGGAACCCTGGGCTTCCTCAGAAATTCCCAGCTGTCATTCAGTTACCAACACACTTCCCCGAGAGCTTAGAATTCACAGGTCTTCTCTTACAGAGTGTCAAATCTTTTACGTATTGCTGTCACAGTTTAGTTGGAATGGCAGTGAGGCCCAAGAATCCAGCATCCCAAATGAACTTCTCATCTAGAACAGGGGTGGGGAACATCCAACCTCCAAGGGTTCTAAATTTGGGTTCCAGTTTCTCTCCAAACATACACACTACCTGTGATGTCATGTGAAGGGCAAGTAATACCGCCAGTGAACAGTCAGGAACCTTAAGGTGTATTCCTAATTGTGCACTGACAAGGGAACCACCTATCAGGTGACTGAAAAGAGAACCAAAGCCTACTGGATTGGTGGCCAATCCCTGCCAAGTTAAGGTAACACTCAATCATATCCCTTGTTCAATTTCATTTAAAATTATTTGCTTTTTACTTGATTCAGTAATAAATGATTTATTAATGGTTGATTTACAGATGCTTCCTTTGTAATTTATTATTTAGAACAATATCAACTTGACTATGAATATATATCAAAACACTGAATAACTTTTGTTAACGTAAGTAATGGAAATATTTTCCGAAACTACTCTGGAAATTTGGCTAATGAAAGCTCAGTTTTTCTAGCCAGGAATGAAGGACCCTCGCTGCATCTGTCGTTTGAGAGTGAGTGAGTTTCCAGCTTACATCTTACATACAAAGCAATCTCCACATGGTGTACACTGGGAATTTTGCTCTGCAGCAAGTAGCAGTCTGATCACAGCAACATACAGATAACTCGGGTTGTGTTCTGGGGTTCTAGGCATATATGCAAAAATGTGTAAAGCCAGGAGGGCCCCCCAGAAGCAGCCCCCAGGCAAGGTGGAGGGCTGCTTATCCCAGAGCGCTCCATCACCTTCCCAAAGCCCAGCGAGCACTTGCTAATGTTTCAAGAGACAAAAATGTCATTTTTTTTTTCAGCACTGTGAAAACGCTAAACAAGTGCTTTTTTAAAAAATCTCATTTTTAAGCTGCATAAACTGCTTGCTTCGAGACTATATTTAAACACCACACACCAGGCAACTTTTAACATGTTGCAACAATTACTATTTTACCCTATGCGCCTTTCAAACACAGAAGTTATTTGTTGGCAAAACACATTGCGCCATATAAAAGTGAACCACAGCACTGATTTTTTAATGGCCTGCTTTAAGCTATCTCCAACAAGACATGAATGAGAGTTGTCCCACTGCTGAAGAATACTTCTGCCTCATTCATTCAAGTTTACCATATCCGTTCCTGGATCTCTGGCGCTACACTGTTTTGTGTTTCCAAACCAATCTGCCCCTGTAGTCTTGATTGTTTTGTAATACATCAATGCATACTCTAGGCTAGAAACACAGTGACATACTTACTCAGCCACAGCTAGTTTCTGTAGTTTTTCCCTTTTCTTTGCAGACCAGTTAAGGTCACCTCCTACGACAGAAAAGATATATGCATGTCTTTTAACAGAGTGCATGGATGTTTTTACAAACAGTCACAATCCATGTATATTGTGGGTACAACACCATGAGGGCCGTTAAAGTATTTACCACAGTTCACTTGGTGTAAGTATTGTGTGCTACATGAAAAATCTAGAAGGTTATAGGAAGTAAGAAGACAGAAGCAGCTCTAGACAAAAGGAACTCTCCCCTGAAGTGCTCCCATACCAAGTACTGTGGGGTTCAGTGCCAAGATCAGGAAATAACATTCCTCTGCCTTCTCTTTAGAAATGAAGAATAAAAGGCAGATTTGGGCCCGCCCCATGTCAGGGTGGGAGTTAGGAGCAGGTCAGCAAAAATTCACAGATAATTCTTGTCAGAGAATCAACTCCTTAGTCAAAGAAATACAACAGATCAGGCCCAGAGAGCCCAGCACCCCTTCCCAGAAGATCCTGCCCCAATGAGACAGTTGTGAGGACTGAAGGTCCCTGCCTTCCTACAGTTCCCTCCTCTTCAAGGTTTTCCCAAGCAATTGGAGACTTTTGACATCTTGTCCATCTCTGCTCCACCTCTGCTGGTTCTGACAGAGTTGCTATGTGACAACAGCTGCAAGGATGCTATTAGCCCAAAGATGGAAGGAAGAAATAATCCCATCTAGGGAAGAATGACAAGCCAAGCTGCTGGACTACGCCGACACGGCAAAACTAACTTGAAGACTCGGGAATCAAGAAGACCAGAATTTTGAAAAAGAATGGGAAAATTTATAATTTACTTAGGAGACCATTGTAAGCAAATTAAAACTTTACTTGGAATCTAACACTCACTTGTAATGTAATGAAAACTATGGATGATTTGAAAAAATGAAATTTGGAGAATGGATTAATATGTAGTTACAAACATTGTAATAAGGAACCATGTAGGGGACAGGGGGAAGTCAAGAGACTCAGAGAATCTCAAGAGATTATTATATAAATTGTTTGATTGTAAATTTGTACTGGTAAAAACAAATAAAAATATATATTATTTTTTTTTTAAAAAAGAAATTTACTAGTCGCAAGACTAATACAATGAAGAGGCTTACCCCTGAGGAGATTCACAAAGTACAGCATGACAACAGCAATGAGGCCCACTAAAAAGCAAAAAAGAAGTTATATAAAGTTCAAGTATACAAACCAGGCGAGTCTCAATAGTGAGTTTTCAGTGCGGTAAGGCAAAAATCAAGAAAGAAAGCAGATTAAATAGGCTCAAGACAAATAGCCAGGTTATATGAAGGACTCCTTGAACCCTTATGAGACAGAGAAGCCCTGCTCACAGCCCACCAGCCGTCTATCAGGCCAGCAGGTACAAGAGACAAGGGCTTCTTAGTGGTGGCCCCATAACATTATGCAATCCAGAGGCTGCAGCTAGTGCAGAATGTGGCTGCTAGGCTGGCAAGTGGAGCACAGCAGTGGGTCTTGAAAGTACTGCTCTCACTGCAAGTGAGCTACTAGGTCTAGCATATATGTGTTGACACATAAAGCCCATAAATCTATCATCTCAGACTCTACAATTTGTAGGTGAGACTTGTTGGTAGTGCCACCACTAGGGACTGCCCAACAGCCCACGAACCATAACTTTTCAGTGGCAGTTCACTGTTTGTGGAACTCTCACCTGGGTGAGGAGCATCTGTCACCCTCATTATTGAATTTAAGGAGAAATTTAAACACATTCCTGTTTACTTGGGCATTTGATGGCTTAAAGACTCCTGACAAGCCCAAGATCAGTGGTTGAAAATGTTTTTAACTGCTTTTTGGAATAGTTTTTGTATTGTTTTGTTTTTTCATATTTTAACACTGCTGTGTCTGTTGCCCTGGGTTCTTTCGAGAGGAACGGTAGGACATAAATAAATAAAAAAGTAACATTATGTGGGAAGTGTGTATAGCTCCCTCATTGGTTATTTCTAAAGACCTATCTGCTTACACCAGCTCTTAACTGATTAATTTGAGGCTGGCTCAGACTCTTAAACTTGCAATGTTGCTCAATTTTATCTTCTTATTGCTGCTCCATTTTATCTTTTTATTGCTGCCTTTATTTTAAGATTAAATTGTTTGATACTGTAATGTTGACTTGTGTTTCCTCCTTTTAAATTTGATGAGAACTGCCTATACAGTAGGATTGCCAGACATCTGGAATTTCCCCGACATAGCCAGAATACTGTGGTCGGAAGCAGCGTCCGGGCAGTATACAAATATTTAAATGCAAACAAGGCAATTGAATACAAAACACGTCTGCGGCAAAGCCCAGAGGAGCAGTAGCACCCCCTTGTGGCTCAGATCAGGATGCCAGCCCAACTAAACACTTATGCATTTACACTGGTCCCAGTCACTAATAAGTAACATCAGGGTTTTCACTCACAAAGCTAGGCATTTCCCCTTCACCTGCTTTTACCTACAGCAGCTCCCCAGTTAAGCCCGCACTGTTAAAGCGGGAGTCAGGAACGGGTCAGGAATAAGTCACAAGGTGTCAGTGAAGTTAGCTGTCTAGTCAAAGACACAAAACAGCTCAGATCTAGCGAGCACAGCAACTGTTCCCAGTAGGCCTTGTCCCAATGAGGAAGCTGCGAGGACTGAAGGTCCCTGCTGCCTAAGTCCCCTCCTCCCCAACATCCTATTCCAAGCAACCCAAGACTTCTTCGCCTTGTCTGTCTTTGCTCTGCCCTCTTCATACCTCTGCACGTTCTGGGAAAACAGGGCGAAGGGGAGCTAATCACAGCAGGAGGGAGAGACTCCCTGGATTCTTCAGTAGGCTGCCTGATCACTGCCTCTTGGCTTCCTTCCTCTCCTGCTTCTGCTTCTGGACTTCGCTCTGCCACAGACTCTTCCTGCTCATTAACTCTGTTAACTCTTCAGCTTCCAACACTGTCTCTTCCCAGTCTGCTCCCTCTTCTCCCTCTGACCACTCATCATTGTCCCACCACCCATCCCCCGGCTCTGAGCCTTCTTCCTTTGGGGGTTCCCCAGCTGCTGCCTCCCACCACCCCTCTCGAGTCCAGCCAGGGCATGACACGCACACAGGTCCAATCACTACGTGAAATCACTCAAGTTCAAGAATCCCTGTGAACTAGGGTGCATTGGCCTTTATGCATGTCTAGGAAGAGAGAGGAACATTGTGGGCCTAGCACAGAACCCACCACGTGGTTCGGCATCGTTCTTTTTGAGCAATAGCTTCATGTGAATTATTAGCTATTCCAACAAGATGTCATCATACAGTTGACGCTCCGGTTGCAAACGTGATCCGTGCGGGATGCACGTTCACAACCCGCAGCGTTCGCAACCCATGTCTGCGCCCACGCGGGTTGCGATTTGGCACTTCTGCGCATGCGCAAAGCACGATTTAGCGCTTCTGCGCATGTGTGACCGCCGAAACCCGGAAGTAACCTGTTCCAGTACTTCTGGGTTTCGGCGGCCTACAACCTGAAAAAACGCAACCTGAAGCGTCTGTAACCCGAGGTATGACTGTACTTACAGCACAAACAAGCACTGAAGAAGATTTCTAGGAAGAGGTAGCCCCGGGAATCCAGGATCATGCCAGCTGCGATGGCAATGATGGCCAGGCCCAAGTTCTGAATTGACTGCATGCTGAAAAGCATTAAGGCGATTAGCTTACAAAGCTCAGTTTTTCAACTAATAAAAAGAAACCAATTGAAAGATATTGCCCCCACTTGCTCATAAAATCCAAACGAGCTGACAGATGAGCAAATAAAAATCCATATGCATCTATTAAACAATGAGATATAGCTGGTAAAATAAAATAAAAAGTGGCGGGTTAATTTGCCTTCCAAAGCAACGCCACTTCCAGGGAGACACACTCATAACAGCCCCACAACCTGACCTAGACAGGCTGGCAGGAATATACTCTCAAGGTGGCCCATATGAGAGGAAGGTATAAAACGTGTTCAAGATCTGACATACATGGACACCTGCTATCTGGTACACACACACGCTAGCTCAGATGGCTAGGTTTCCATTCTTCCAAGCTGAAAGCGATATACCTGGAGTCAGGCCTGTAAAACAGGGCAAGGCCCTGGACACTGGTTTTGCATCAGGCCAAGAAAATCCATTGAGCAGCCCCAGTTTCAAAAATCAAGTCTTCCGTTCCCAAGACTGAATCCAAGAAAATAAGTTTCGATGTTTTTGAACTGGTGAACCAGGTGCAGTGAAAGACATCTTAAAGCAGTGGTTTCTCTGGGCCACCCTTTCAGTACAAAAACTTGCTGGTGCCACACCCATTTTTTAAATGATAAAAAATACATTGGCAAACAACTCCTGGCAGTGCTTGATTCATAACATAGAACACAACTACTTTCCAATATGATCATGGGACATATTATAAAGTATAAAACACCCCAGCTACATAAGAACATGAATTATTCCCATAATATAATACAGATTGCCCTTGAATCTTCCTGCCACATCCTTTGAGAACCACTGTCTTAATGAAATTCCTAAATGACCTGCAGTGAAAGGATGTGCTTTATGAGAACAAGTCGGTATCGTGCTATTAATCCCAAAGTTTAAAAGACAAATCCTTACTCCAAAGTATCGAGATTCAAATATCTATTACTCACAAGCCATAAGCAGTTCCGAGCTGGTGTTCAGGGACAACGAAAGCTACCATAGGCCACAAGGCACAGGCCAGCAGGGAATAAGCCACTCCCAGGAAACACTGCAGAAAACAGCATTAAAAAAAACCACACACACATTAAACGTGATCTACCAACAGCTCCAGAGGGGACAAGTTATATGGGCTTCACAAATTAGTTGTCCCATTTCTATCCAGTTTGTCCAGTTGTAAGGGGGCCAATCAGAAGGCCGGCAGTTCGAATCCCCACAACAGGGTGAGCTCCTGTTGCTTGGTCCCAGCTCCTGCCAACCTAGCAGTTTGAAAGCACATCAAAGTGCAAGTAGATACCGGTAAATAGGTACCGCTCCGGCGGGAAGGTAAACAGCGTTTCCATGCACTGCTCTGGTTTGCCAGAAGCGGCTTAGTCATGCTGCCACATGACCCGGAAGCTGTACGCCAGCTCCCTCAGCCAATAAAGCGAGATGAGCGCTGCAACCCCAGAGTCGGCCACGACTGGACCTAATGGTCAGGGGCCCCTATACCCTTTACGGGATGTTTACACTAGCTTGCTCTGAAGTTGAAACAGCGTGTGCATATTTAAAGCTCCTCCAAGGAGATAATGTAGTGTACAAGGCGTGCAACGCCCAACAAATGACATCTAGCACAGCTGCCGAGTTGATGAGTACCAAAATTCTTACAGAGTATACTAATGTCCTAAAGCAGCCTGCACTGCCATAAAAAAATAGTTTCTGGCGTACATGTTGCATCCTTGGGAGGAAAGAATCAGGGCTACACACAAGTATCCATTATTTTACATCCCATATAATGCATGAAATGCGGTTTATTGTGGGAGATGATTATAAATGCGCCTTACTGCATTAGATAAAATAAAGTTGGGGTAAATGCCTACCATGGCAATCCAGGGGTTCCAGAAGGTAAAGGCCAGCATTATATGAGAAGCCAGAGTAATCACTACAGCACACATAACCCAGGTGACATTCCTTCCAACTTTGTCTACCAGGAATCCGAAGACAGGGGACATGGGTGCCGAGATGATATAGACAATGCTGTACAAAGGAAAGTTATTTCAGAAAAGCAAGGCAATCATGATACAAAATGCTACAACCGCTCTGGGTTTTCCAGTGTGATGTGACTTTCCTCTTTCCCCCACCCGCAAAAATTCAGCTCCTGAATTATTTTTTAGACCTGATATATTCTGATATGCAGTCATGCCCATTGATAAATTCATGGCAGTTTCATTGGATTGGTCAACTCTTATAAAAAAATCGAATTACCACTGAAAAGCTACGCTAGCAGTCAAGGCGAGGTGGAATTACAATTCACAAAGAAAATACATTTTAAATTGCATCTTTTCTATTCATTTTCGTTATAGTATATATTATCTTAGAAGATCATGCCATTTCCAGGCGGTTAAGGAAGCGATCTACATGAAAGGACTGTATTGTTTTCAGCACACTTTTCTGTAATCGCAACGGCTAGAGATTTACCTTTTTAAGTAAGAAATCTGAAGTTTCAAGGGGAAGGAATGCTGCAAGTATGTAACTGTATACTGCATACATATGCTTCAGAGCAAATATTCCGTTTCTTTTATTGATCTTTTATCCTACCAAGTGTGTGTGCTTTAGGTGCACTGCTCAAAGTCAAGGTTCTTGAGCTGAAAAAATACACGCAATGCAATTATTTTTATTTTTTTACTTAAATGGACAACACTTACCTGTTGATTGCACTTGCTTCTTGAGGAGAAAACTTGAATTTCTCAATGAAGAAAACCCTGTAAAAATCCATATAAAAAGTTTTACGATCTTATACCTATTTACAATAACTATGGGGAAAAACCAGCCTGCAATTCTAATAGTGCTGGTTCGTAACTAGGCCACAATAAGAAAAGCTCTGTTGAAAGAGGACTGCTGATTATTAAGTAATGAGGAATAGGAAATTGTATACAAAAAATATCTGCTAATACTCCCCAGAAAAGGAAGCTGTGAGAGCAGTATGAAGTAGACTGGACATGACGTTACTCATAGATTGATGCTAGGAAGAAACACTCTGACCCAAAATAAGCCCTGGTTGTGTCACTTGGCTTTTAATGGAAATGAAAAGTGGGTGGAGGGGGGGTGAAAATTAAGGCAAGACGGAGCAAAATAAAAATAAAAATAATTTATTGTTATTTATAGCCTGTCCATCTGGCTGGGTTTCCCCAGCCACTCTGGGTGGCTTCAAACAAAATATTAAAATACAATAGTCTATTAAACATTAGAAACTTCCCTAAACAGGGCTGCCTTCAGATGTTTTCTAAAAGTCAGATAGTTGTTTATTTCCTTGACATCTGATGGGAGGGCGTTCCACAGGGCATGCACCACTACCGAGAAAGCCCTCTGCTTGGTTCCCTGTGACCTCACTTCTTGCAGTGAGGGAACCTCCAGAAGGCCCTCGGAGCTGGACCTCAGTATCCGGGCTGGATGATGGGGGTGGAGACACTCCTTCAGGTATACAGGACCAGGGCCGTTTAGGGCTTTAAAGGTCAACACCAACACTTTGAATTGTGCTCGGAAATGTACTGGGAGCCAATGTCGGTCTTTCAAGACTGCTGTAATGTGGTCTTGGCGGCCGCTCCAGTCACCAGTCTAGCTGCCGCATTCTGGATTAGTTGTAGTTTCCAGGTCACCTTCAAAAGTAGCACCATGTAGAGCGCACTGCAGTAGTCCAAGTGGGAGATAACTAGAACATGCACCACATTAGACATTTAGGGGGCAATCCTATGTCAAGGTGAGTTGGCATGAGAAGCTTAGGATGTAGAGGATCTCCAGCTCTACTAGCCGGTTTCTGGCTCAACTGGCATTAGGTCCTCAAACCTGGCTCCGCTGAAGACATGCTGGTATAACTTGCTCGTCTTGGTTCAGCCAGAGGTCAGATGCCTGAGCTAAAGCTGGCCAAACTAAGGCCACTGTAAATACAAAAAAGGTGAGACATTCTGGGTGGGACAATCAGAGTTTGGATCTCCAGCAACTTTATACGCCGGCTCCTTGTACTTAGGATTGCTCCCTAAAAGATTAATCCAAGAGTATCAAATAGTATACACTGAGTTCCAGCGCTGAGGGCCTTCTGGCGGTTCCCTCATGGCGAGAAGCCAAGTTACAGGGAACCAGGCAGAGGGCCTTCTCAGCTGTGGCACCCACCCTGTGGAACGCCCTCCCACCAGATGTCAAAGAGAACAACTACCAGACTTTTAGAAGACTTTTAGGGAAGCTTTTAATGTTTGATGCATTACTGTATTTTAATATTTTGTTGGAAGCCGCCCAGAGTGGCTGGGAAGCCCAGCCAGATGGGCGGGGAATGAATGAATGAATGAATGAATAAATAAATAAATAAATAAATAAAATAATTATTAGATTCTGAAGAATATCCGAGTTTTAAGTGCAGAACTGAAAGTTAGTGTCAAAGCAGAACCAGATTACATAGTTGAAGAAAATATACCCCCTAAGCAAGACTTTGCAAACTGACACACTGACTCCTTCCTCAAGCCTTGCCTCAGAAGATTTTGAACCAAAAATGGAATATGTCATAGAAATGGCACACGCCCAGATCTTCTTGCATGTTCCAATTTGGTAGTCAACACTCTAGAGCCACAAAATTTGGAACTCGGAAACCTAACGGCAACATCTGCTTAAGTTAGGCAAACTTCTAGGCCATAAAAACAGGGCGCACACTTACAATGCACGTGTTTGCACATTTTGGTGCCACGTCAGAGCCAGGAAAAAGTAGGGTGGATGAGAAAGATTTTCAAGAGGTTGGAGTGCCTTATTTGGCTTCCTGCCTTATATAGCTCTTTGGGCCTCCGAGTGTTGCTAGTGGAATTACTACTTCTTCAACTCATAGGCTACTTTTCTACACAGAGGTGCCCAAAGCAGCCTACAACACCAGAACAGCAACACATTTTAGGGGACGTTCTAAATCAAAACAACAGAAAACATAAACAGTTTTTTATAAATAATAATAATAATCAGGTATATCAAACATTTGCAACAAGTTACAAAGTGGCATGTCTTTGTCAAAGCATGCACTTACTTTCCAAGTCCAATGAAAGGGAAGACGGCCACATAGTAGCAAACGCAGATAATAAATATGAGCCACAAGGACAGCGAGAAGTCTTTCACATCGGTTAATTTTATCACTTCACCTTGAGAAAAGAGAAACATCAGTTCCGCTATTTTAACTCAATCATTTCTATATTAAGGCCAACTAAAACCAGCAAAACCCATTTCCCGTCATTGACTAATTCTAGCTGTTTTTTTTACTGGTGGGAAGCAGAAGCTGCAGTTTCTCAATGGAAAAAACTCTAGAATCGTGAGAAAAGTGAAGCTGGGTCACTTCAAAATGAGTTTTGAGTTTTCCTATCATGTTATGGGAAACCTACACATGCATTCTGGCAAGTGGGGAAAACATGTTCAAAAAGATCGTCTCTGCTTCCTCCAGTACATACATACATTTTCAAAAACTATGGACTGCAGCCTAAGGTTCCATTATTGAAGCCGGACACCCACTTACCAGTTTTTCCCTGCTCTTTGCAAAGAATTTTCTCTGCTCTTTTATCCAGATAACCAAGAATGAGAGCACAAAGTAGTGAAAAGATACATGACACACCGCCTGCAATGCAGAGAAATTCAGTGTTACCAGCAGAAGCTACTCACCATTTACGGAATTGTAAAATCCATTCATGTTATTATCTGGTGACTGTATAATTAAACAATGACTTACATGGGTGAAGCAGCCAGCGTTAAATACCACTACTTTTATCACTAACTGCTACATTGGTATACTGCCATTCATCCAAGAAAGATTTCAAGGTACTTTAGAGAAATATAGACAGTTCACAAATTTAGCTGTGACATCATTTGAGTGATATTCATACTTGTCTGACTCAGTCCCTTCATTAGCAGAGCTAGAGAACATGAGCTTCATCATTGTAACTTGGCATGGCTTGGCACTTACAATGAAGCACAAAGACAGTTAACACAGAACCATTCTAGTCCGAGAATCTGAGTTATGTCATCACACAACGCTATTCATAATGCTGTCTTCCCAATTATCCAGTGTGTTTCTAATTAATTTCTATTTTAATTGCCGTAAAACAGCTTAATATTTTAAACCAAGGTGTCAGATGGTTAAATACTAATAAATACAAATATTTACAAAAGTTTACTAAGTATTATATTTATGAATATCCTGTAAACACACATAAATGAATAAAAGCAAGTCTTCTGCCAAATTAAAAGGAAAGGAGTTCCAGATTTTACTAAAATGTTTGTGCAGTTCAGTGCTGAGCAAACCACAGATTAAGCACAAATAATTCAGTGTTTGGTAAAGATGCTCTACTCGTTATTCAACCATTGAAACAGCTGCATCACCACTTGCTGCAGGTCATGTGTAAACTACTGAATCGTTCGATCTTTATTGCCCTGAAAAAGTTCACCAAAGGCTATGTATATGCCGCAACTGTAATGCAGCCTTGCTTTCATTGTGTCAGTTTGTATAAAAGGTAAAAAAAGAAAAAAAAGGTAAAGGATGCCTGGACGATTAAGTTCAGTCAAAGGCGACTATGTGGTTGTGGTGCTCATCTCGCTTTCAGGCCGAGGGAGCCGGCGTTTGCCCACAGACAGCTTTCTGGGTCATGTGGCCAGCATGACTAAACTGCTTCTGGCACAACAGGACACTGTGATGGAAACCAGAGCGCACGGAAACGCCGTTTACCTTCCTGACACAGTGGTACCTATTTATCTACTTGCACTGGTGTGCTTTTGATCTACTAGGTAGGCAGAAGCTGGGACAGAGCAACGGAAGTTCACCCTGTCGTGGGGATTTGAACTGCCAACCTTCTGATCAGGAAACCCAAGAGGCTCAGTGGTTTAGACCACAGCGCCACCTGTGTCCCTGGTGTATGGTGCCAGACAGCAGCAGATATGCAATATGCAAATAAGAGATTCTCTCTTTCTCTCAGATCTAGAGTTAAAATGATTCCATGGTAGCAACCTTTCTGATGTCAAGATCAGAAAGTCCTCCATTGCTCTCATTATCTAGCCTCAAACTGAAGCTTTTAACTTTGTAGTTTACAATAAAAAAGTGGGTTTACAGAGTTGGAACTGAATTTCAAGCCTTAGTGTTTTATCCAATTAAGCCATACACAGAGAAGGTCTTCTGAAATCATGGGACATTAAGTTAGTGATTACTAACGCAAGTCCACTGATTTTAATGGGTCTAATCTGAGTCTAACAACCCACAATCTTCCAATTCATCAAAGAGGAAACCAAAATGTTCGTACAAAGTTAATACTGAAAGCATTTACTAACCTATCAAGAGAGCTATGCCAAGAGTGGTGTGACCCGTAGAACCGATCAAATCTTGAGCTTTGGAGTACACCCATCCCATAATGTTCATATTGACAGTGCTCCCCTGGAAGAGAGATGATCTGCAACTGTAACATATACTTCCAACCAATTTTACAAATAGGCCAAAAAAAACCTTAAAATAAGATCTATATTTGAATACAGTGGTACCTTGGTTTAAGAACTTAATCCGTTCCAAAAGTCCGTTCTTAAACCAAAGCGTTCTTAAACCAAGACATGCTTTCCCATAGCAGCGGGGGACTCAATTTACACTCAACAGGAAGTGGAACATGTGATTCCAAGACAAAGTTCACAAACCAGAACACCTACTTCTGGGTTTGTAGCGTTCTTAATCCAAGTTGTTCATAAACTAAGCTGTTCTTAAACCAAGGTACCACTGTATCTGATTTACAGAAATTAATTTAAATATCTAAGTTAGTCGTGCCCATTAATCTCAATGGGTGTTCCCCAGCAGAACAATCCCTATGTCCCTAGTTAAGAACTGTTCTCCCCACTCTAATGTGCATAGAGAGAACTAAACAGGAAAATCCATCACCATGTTATGCAAGTGGCTTCCCCTTCTCCTGCAATGAAACCCACCCACCTGTTTTGAAGGGTCTCCCAACATTTTTGGGCGTATTTGGGGGGGGGGGAGTGTCAGACACAGAGAGGGGATGGGCAAGTTCCACTTTACAAGCAAAGGTTGACACTGATGGATGACAAATGTCGGGATAGTAATGATTAAAATTAGAACACACACAAAAAATGTTTTTAGACTTACAATTCTAGCCATGCTGAGTTGCAGTCCAAACACAAGGTTTAATTCTTTTCCTTTAAACCAACTGACAGCATAGGTATTTTGCGCCACTGCTAAGGACTCTCCACCAATCCTAAATGAAGCAAGAAAGTTCATGAATACAGATATTTGAAGCAACGTGGATGAAACTCCGGCCTTCTAATGACAGTAATGTATCCATGCTGATATATAAGTTTTATCTTAACGCAAGAACTAGAAAACCAAAAGGCAAATAATCCAGCTGTTCAGATGCAAGAGTGCAGGGTATTTTTCAACATATAGTTCCGTATGGGCTGCCTGCTTTTTAAGAGGGAGAGAGGGTATATAGCAAATGTTGAGACACAGCCGAGGTGTGAACTCACCCAAATACAAATCTGCCAGCTTCCATCAACCAAAAAGCGTTACATATTGCTCCCACAGCAAAAATCACCTGTAAAAAAAGGAATGCATATCACATTTCAATGAAGTGTTGGAGCCATGCCATATGCATATATTTCAGACTGCAATCCTACACACTTTCCTAGGAGTAAGCCCCAATGAACTCAGTTAGGTAGACATGTATACGATTGCAATGTTAGGGAATCTTACACTGAAAAAGCAGATTAAACAGTAAGCACTTATTTTTCCATATTTGGGACATAAGCATTAATTTTTCTGTATTTAGCTATTGAAAAGTACATGAATATTATCTGTTTCACTCACCTGTCCAATACAGACAAAGGTGCTGAATATTATTGTGCCCCACCTGCAAGAAAATGAAGACTTTAAAAATACTTATTTTAATATTTGCAACTAGAAAATATAAAAAGGGTTAGGGTAAAAAAAAATCCAATGCTACAATGGTTATAGTAAAAATATCAATAGCACGTCAATGAAAACTGATTGATTAAAAAAAAATGTTCTAAAGGCTTGTCTGAGCAACAGTTTCTAAAAGACACCTGAAAGCAGAGATGACGCCTCCTGAAGTTCTACTGTCAAGGAGTTTCACATGGCTAACTTATTACACAAAACTGTCCCTATACAAAACCTGACTAATGTTGAAGTTATTGTTGACTAGGACTGAAATAAAACTCTCCTGCATCTCTGGAGACAAGCCTGCAAAACTCCAATGTAAGAAGAGCCTGCTGGATCAGGCCAACAGCCACCCAGTCCAGCATCCTGTTTTCACAAGGGCCAACTAGATGCCATGTGGGAAGGGAGGAGCCAAGTGCAACATCACTCTCCTCACATGCGTTTTGAAAAAATTAAACAAATATTAGCAAAACATCACATTATTTGGGCATAAGCAAAACGTGGACCAAGTTGTTACTTTCGAGATGGATGGGTTATACCAGGGGTAGGCAACCTAAGGCCCGGGGGCTGGATGCGGCCCAATCGCCTCCTCAATCCAGCCCGCGGACGGTCTGGGAATCAGGGTGTTTTTACATGAGTAGAATGTGTCGTTTTATTTAAAATGCATTTCTGGGTTATTTGTGGGGCATAGGAAATCATTCATTTCCCCCCGCAAAATATAGTCTGGCCCACCACATGGTCTAAAGGATGGTGGACCGGCCCACGGCTGAAAAAGGTTGCTGACCCCTGGGTTACACAGTTACCTTATTCCAAAGACTCTGTCTATCAGAAAGCCTCCAAAGAAACAGAGAACCACATTGGGCCAAGAATACCAGGCATACAGTGCCATGAATTCAGCTGTGTTCACCTTCATATCCTAAAAGGAAGAGCACACAGAAGAATTACTATCTTTTGACACCACTTTGTGTTATGACACATTCATAGAGAAACATCTATCCAGTGAAATGCTTTTTCATTACAGCACCATGCAAGTCTACATTGGGGGCTCATTGCCTGTACACTACCACACCCCTCTAAACTCCTGGGTCACCCTTCACAGTCTGTCAGGAAAGACCCATCAGGGCTGGTGGGAAGTGCGATGTGGGGAACATCAACCTCTAGCACTCATGGCCAAACAAACGCAAACCTAACACATAAATCACATCGTATTTAGCCATAATGTTTTTTGTTACCAGAGAGTGAAACAGCAATCAGTTTAATTATAGGTCCTTTTTTTTTTTAAGCAAAATCAGCACAATTTTCCCCCCTCAGTTACTGCTAGTCATCTAACGTATGACTAAAAAGGTAACCTCTCTGGAGGGAAAAGGGGGAAATCCACCATACTGCAGATATTCTGTACATCACTCACCTTTTGGACCTGAGTTTGCAACGCTGCGGGGTTGTCATAGCAAAAATAGCTGCCTATACAGGAAAAGTAAGACAACAAAATTAAACATGAACTCCCCCCTCCCTTTTAAAGTAACCTGGAAAAGCTGTATTAATAGCAATAATGGTAAACATTTTGGATCATACCAAACCACCACAATGGAGGCAGGAGAAAAGATGCCCTCCATTTTCTGTCCACTGAGAAGCAACAGAAGGAGCAGCTACACCTCCACCTTCCCCTTCCCTTCTCAAAATTCAGCAGCCTTACAGCAACAGGTAATGTTTCTCATTGGAAGGGTATGTGTAAGGGCCCAGATTCAATCCCTGAAATTTCTAAGCAGGGAGAGGAGGAATCCCGGTTTGAAACCCTGGAGGGAAGTTGGTCAGAAGGGTAGGCCAGCTTTCCCCAGCCTAGCAACTTCCAGACCTTCTGAACTATAACTCAGATTAGCCTCACTCAGGCATGACTATTAGCTGGACTCCAGCAGCAGGACCAGGCTGGATGGCACTGATAAGAGTTGTAATTCTAAACATTTGAATGCCAGGTTGGGAGAAGGCTGGCATAACCAGTACTGAATGAGACCAATCAAATGCATGCCTCAGCAGAAAGTAGTTTTCTATATCCTCTTTACATGCTTAAAAGCTTCCACCGCCTCCTACAAATCCTTACGTAGGGAGAATTTAAAAAGCGAAACTCCACTTCAGCGAGTCATCAACCACAGGGTGCTTGACTTCCCTGTTTGCTTAGGGTTTTTCCTCCCCATGGCATATAGATGCTTTCCCATTCTGGTGCTTGCACAGCAATCAGCAAAGAACACCAGGAATGCAAGTTTTGTTTTTTCTTTTTGCAATCTAAAACGCAAAACCCCAGTTCTCAGGGCGGGGTCTAGCTTCACCCTGAAACACACAGTAAAGAAAATTAGCATTTTCTGGCACGTTCCCAAGATCACTCCCCAAAGGTCAATAGTTCCTGAAAAAGATCTGCTTCGCGCCGCCCTGCCGGCCCCACGATCAAGCAGCTGTCGGGGTTTGGTTTTGTTTTTCCCCAAGGCAGGTTTTCCCACCACGCTCCCCAAGAGCCCCCTTAACTGCAGACCAGTCGCGGGCGAGAAAGGGGGCAGGAGCAGCGGCGGGAGCCTCGCTTTATGCTCACCGAAGCCCAGGAAGCACATGAGCGCCAGGACCAGCATCCGATGAGCCAGCCGCTGCGGGTCGCACAGGGCCGACATCGGCTTCCTCGCAGGGCAGCCATCGTGCTCCGGCGACGAGTCCCCGTCCAGCAGCGCTTGCTCCTCTTCCACAGGCGCCGCCATCTCGACGGGGCGAGGAGCGAGGCGGTCACGTGAGGGCGCGGGTCACGTGACACGCGTCCGGGGAGAGCCTGGTGGGAAAGCTTTGCCAGCGCAGGACAACTGGCAGTGCAGAACTGGCAAGGCAGGGGGAGGTTTCGGATTTTCCCCACGTAGAAGCTAAACAAGCTGTAGCTTAGGGGCCCACTCTCTTGGAGGGGCCCCAAAAAAATTGAAAGGGGGAAAAAAACTGGATGTACATTTCCAAAATATAAGATAAAAAACCAAATGAAATAAAACCTACATACAGCAACAGCGTTTTGTGTTGTGTAGGCTCCTATTTGTTATGTGCAAATGGCTTTAGATACCTGTTAGGTCCATAAATTACCATATAGCATATATTTAACACAAAAAACAGCAACAATTTGTTGCCAAAGGACAGCTGGACATATAAAGGCCCTCATCGAACCTAAATTTGGCCCTGGTAGTACCCCACCCAGGAAATAATAAATTAGGAGTGGGTGCGCATGGGGTGGAAGGGTAGCCGTGCAAAGTCAATTATTATATTATGATTTTGTATTTATTAAATTTGTTTTCCCACCCTTTGGCGGTCTCTGGGTGGTTCACAGCAGGGAAAGGCAAAATAAAAGCACAAATGCAAATGAGTCCCGTTGTGCGGCACCTCGGACCCTAAATAGCGTGCCTTCTACTTGCCTACCCCCCCCCCCATTCTCTACATACCTAAACTTCTTTACCTTACCGAAATCCATCTTTATAAACAGCAGTTTTAGGTTTTAGTTTTCTGTAAGGATCCAACAGTGGCGGTAGATGGCCCATGAATAGACACCAACAGATGTTGTAATTGAAAATACTGCCATTCTACACTCATGGGTTATTTGTACTTAAGCTGTAAAACAGGAAATTTTTTTTTTAAAAAAAAATCCATCTGAACATTATCAGTTCCACCTATTTCTTCCACAAAAGACTTTCTCACGATCTTCAGATCTGCATTACCACACATATATTTAGCACAGGTATATGGATCAAAAATGACCAGCCAACATACATCCTGTGTTGTTGCTAAAACTTTGTTTTATTATATTTAGACCCCAACACTATCTAGCCAAAGAGAGCGGTTAAATAAACCATCTCTGGAGTTACCCAAGCTAGAGTATAGAAGGAGAAAATTGTCAATCATTTTTAACAAATATGACTTATGATATAGGCTACTACAGTGGTGCCTCGGGTTACAGACGCTTCAGGTTACAGACGCTTCAGGTTACAGACTCCACTAACCCAGAAATAGTACCTCGGGTTAAGAACTTTGCTTCAGGATGAGAACAGAAATCGTGCAGCGGCAGTGGGAGGCCCCATTAGCTAAAGTGGTACCTCAGGTTAAGAACAGCTTCAGGTTAAGAACGGACCTCCAGAACAAATTAAGTTCTTAACCCAAGGTACCACTGTATCTGGAAAATTAAAACCACCTTGAGATTCTGGCTGTTGCATGTTCTTTGTAGGCCTTTTCAGATTAGAAATAGGGCCAAAGTTGGTTTGAAGAAAATCTGCTATTTCAGATCCACCACTGGAGCAAAGGACACCCCATTTAAACCCCTCTCCCCATCCACTTCCAGCCGAAATTAAGGGTAAATCACATTCAGAAGTCTTGTGCTCCCTTAATTTGCTCTGAGTCTGTGAGGGAGAATTCCTTAAAACTGATAAAAATATGGTATCTCTCCCCACTGAAGGTGACACAAATCTCAAAAACTGGCAACACCTTCTGTTGGATAGGATGTTCACAGAGAGGCACATATCTTCTGGAACTGCCTAGCACACTATTTGATTGGATAAGTAAATAACCAAACAAAACATGCAGCTATTTTCACACCGACTTTTCTTTAACATCTAGGAAGGAGATAACAATACTTTGGCATTTAAGTGACTAATTAGTGGCACACATGAAACTCACCTGGCACTGGAACAATGTTGAACATTTAATATTGTACAGATGGCATTCCAGAATGTGGAATATTGCAATGACACAGAAATTGACATATCAACTGAAACATACGAAGGGTCTCACCGGAGACCTACACTTCTATGTGTGGCATTGTTTCTCAGCAGGTGTTAAATAAGCTCAGAAAATTCCACTGGTCTCAACATCACTTTGGAACAGAGCCTAGAACCATCAAAACATAACCAGAACCCTGCATGTTACACCATGACCCAGAAACACTTATTTTTACAGTAGTTTATTCAAATAGGAAAAAAAACATACCTGAAAAGTAAAGGCAAGGTTTAAAAGCAATTTCTATTCTCTTCCTGTCTTATCTATGTTCATAATTTCTGTTTGGTTGTTTTTTGTTTTTGTATTACTAGTATTGTTATAATGAACATCACACAAAATAAGACCTGTGACAGAAATGGCAGGAATTCCTGCCCTTGCTCAGGGCCATCTTACCCATAAGCGCTAGGGGTGTGGGGCACCCGGGTGCCGGGCTCTCAGGGGCGCCAGGCCGAGAATCCGGAGCCCGAGAGTTGAGTCCGGGCAAGAGCCGGTGCGTCGGTCAGAGCGCCACGGCGGGCTCTTCTGCTGCGGGCGGCTCTGCGCCACGAGTTCAGGGGCGACCGAGCCAGCGAGACGCTGAGGCGGCCAGCCGGCTCTGCCCTCCTGCGCACCTGGGACTGGGCAACCTGGGGGGGGGGTGCTGGGCGGATCTTTGCACCCCAGCGCTGCATATGCTTAAGACAGCCCTGCCCTTGCTGCTATATATTTTTTTATGGAAACACATCTAATTTAGCAACAAAATACCAAAAAATTAATCACCCAAAACTGTTGGAGGCAGCATGCTTCTGAATACCAGCTACTTGAACTGCAGGAGAGGAAAATGCAGTGACTCTCAACCAATGATTACCATGCCTAGTATGTGTGCATGGGATTGTATCTAAAGTTAAGAAATCAGAGTTGTGGAGCCCAGTCCTATGGATATTGTTACCCGATAGTCATTTCCACTGAATACATTGGGACTCACTCCTAAGTAAGTAGAAGCACTACTAGGAGGTCAGTTTTGTGTGCTCGGGAGATGGAGGAATTACTGTAATTGCAGCATCTTCGGTGCCTTCTCCCAAACACATTTTCTGGAATGCAAATTCAATTTCTTTCAGTGTAACTTTTTTGCAAGAGGCATAAGATCATATGCCACTGGAAAAGAGGAAATTGGTACTGCGTAGGCCTGGCTTGAGCACTGTATATCTTTTATTTTTGAGACGCTGATACTGGTCTTTTAACAGATGGTGTCACTCTAGAGCTGTATACCTTTGGTCTTGCAGAAGAAAAACCCAGGCAAAATGTCCGTATTTCCTTTAAATGATTAACACGAGTAAAACTTTATAGTGTGAAATCTATATTCTGAGAACTAAAAGCTGGTAGCCTCATAATCAAAGTACTCCGCTAGCAGAACCTTACTGAATAAATAGGGTTCTGTTACTGTACTGCGTTGGAAATTACAGCCCCTGCTACAGCAGCTGGGGGCATTCTGTATTGCTTGTTTATTCTATTGTGCTTTTATCCCACTCTACTTTGGATAGCTTAATCGTTTTTCTATCCAGGCAAATACCAGCCAGCCCCTGGTGAATTTTAACATCATGCACCCTCATGTTTGTAATTTGGGTAGGAGGACTGTATATATTCTAGGACAGGGACAGGGAGCCGAGTCGTGCTCCAGATGTTGTTCCCACCATCTCTGACAATTGGCCATGCTAGCTGGAACTAAAGGAAGTTTGATTCCATCATCTGAAGGGCTGCAGGTTCCTCATCCCTGTTCTAGAATCTGGATGCTGTCTCAGTCCTTGCAGTGAGGGGAAATGTTTAAAGGTCAACTCCAATTGTTGCTAACATTTAAAAATTATATTCTCATCTCGGCCGCTTACCCTCAGATAGATATTAAGGCATTTAAGGCAACCCTGCTTAGGGTTTTTAATGTTTGATGTTTTAGCGTGTTTTTAATATTATTTTGGGAGCTGTCCAGAGTGGCTGGGGAAACCCAGTCAGATGGGCAGGGTATAAATAATGAATTATTGTTATTATTATATTAATGGATCTTGGCATTCGCATTCTGTAAGCAATTGAAACATTTTTGTTCTGAGAGGTTTTTCCTGCTGGGTGAAAGGGTCTCAATCATGGGTGTCTATTTTGTATTGATTTTGTATTGATTTTATTCTGTGAACAGCCCTGAGATCTTATGATGAGTATATAAATCAAACAAATAAGCAAACATATAAATAAATAATTTCACTTTGCATCATTTAAAAATATATCTGCTGGGGGTTTTTTGTGTTTTTAACTGTTTCTTGCTTTTTTATGGCCCATTTCCTTGATACACTTGCGTAGAAGGTGATTAATAAAATAAGAAAACAAGGAAGAGGAAAGAAGTAGATCCTTCCTAAGACTCAGAAACTGTTCTTCACCCGTACTTGAAAGTATCAATTAATCTTTGCCAAATGTGATATAAAATCTACATAGAAAATACTAGAAAAACCAAAAAGATCCCTGACACTTTTTATGGGTGAGAGTAAATATGGATAGTTCTAGTTACAGGAAGGTAGCCGTGTTGGTCTGCTGAAGAAGTGTGCATGCACACAAAAGCTCATACCAATAACAAACTTAGTTGGTCTCTTAAGGGACACGGGTGGCACTGTGGGTTAAACTACAGAGCCTAGGACTTGCCGATCAGAAGGTCGGTGGTTCGAATCCCCGTGACGGGGTGAGCTCCCATTGCTCGGTCCCTGCTCCTGCCAACCTAGCAGTTCGAAAGCACGCCAAAGTGCAAGTAGATAAATAGGTACTGCTCCGGCGGGAAGGTAAACAGCGTTTCCATGCGCTGCTCTGGTTCACCAGAAGCGGCTTAGTCATGCTGGCCACATGACCCAGAAGCTGTCTACGGACAAATGCCGGCTCCCTTGGCCAATAAAGCGAGATGAGCGCCGCAACCCCAGAGTTGGTCACGAGTGGACCTAATGGTCAGGGGTCCCTTTACCTTTACTAAGGTACTACTGGAAGTAAAT